CTCCAGCTAGCCGATTTGCCAAGTGCCCTTCTGATCAATTTTTCGGCCCTTCGGTTTGTTCACTTACCCTCACCCACTTGCCCTTTCGCTTATACCTGACAGCGCGTGGGTGGAGGCAGTACCGGGCAGTGTGCCGGGCAGTGGGTGGTTCATTAAGGGAGCGCGCCACCTTTTTCCTTTCTTTTCCCACACTTTGTCGGCCGCAATGACGGCACACACACACACACACACACACACACACACACACACACACACACAGAGTCGGCGCGCTAAACGCCGCGCCAACACGAACAAACTCAAAAGTCTGGTCCCATTTTTGAAGAAAACTCCCGCGCGCGCCCGACGAGGAACAATCGCACACTGCAGGAGCACTGGCTGCTGCCGCGGAGAGAGAGAGAGAGAGAGAGAGAGAGAGAGAGAGAGAGAGGGATGGAGAGAGAGACCAGTGGAGCAGACCTTGCTGCCCTGTGCACTCACTCACTCACTCACTCACTCACTCACTCACTCACTCACTCACTCACTCACTCACTCACTCACTCACTCACTCACTCCCACTTCCGTAAAAGTGGTAAAAACGGTGACGCGAGCAGCGGGCTAGTAGTGCGTTTGGCGCGGCGCCCGATCTCCTGGTCGGAACGCAAATCAGAAGAAAGTGCCACTGACTTACAGCGGGGCGGCTTGCGTCGCCCGCGTCGCTTGCGTAAGTCAGGAAGCGGCCGATGATAATTATTGAAAGCAGGAACCTTGTCGGAATGCGCGTTCTGAAAGCAGCGCGTGCGTTGGTATGTATCGAGCATCGCCGCGCCGATGGTATGGGGGGGGGGGCTTTTGGCGCCAACGCGACGACGCGCGGGCATCGTGGACGGCGAGACTGTTCTGGCCGTGCCAGGCTGCCAGGCACGCCAGGTCAAGGGAAAGCTGTTACTGGCAGCCCCCAGACCGAGTGGTGCCGGGTGCCGAGGGGTTGGTCCCACTGCGTGACCACCGCGTGACACGCATTCGGCAGTGCCAACGTCACAGGAAACAGACTCTCCGTCTTCGGGAGTCGATACCTCGCGTTCTGAGAGCGCTGGCACACAGTATGCAAGAGGCATGAAAATGCTTTGTCAAGTTTCGAGGGTGCGATTTCCGAGTGCAACGCTTGTGAGGCTCATTGTTGTTGAAATACTTGGACATTTGGATCGTCTTCTGCACTGCAAGAAAAAACCCCAACAAAAGTACACAAATTACTGGCAAATTTTTTATCAGTAAATTTATTCTACTTTCAAAGTACAACAATTGTTGTACAAAGTACAATGGATCCGGCATGACGAGTGCTGGGCAGTCCAGGCCTCGTTGTGGTTTGTACTTTATACAATCCCTTTTGTACTTTTATTGTACAGTTTTTGTTGTACTTTTGTTGTACTATTCACACTTTTTCTTGCAGTGTGTTGAGTTCTTTGAATGCGTTGCTAATGTCGCCTTTCATCAGAAAATTAAATCTTTTCCTCGCACTTTTGACCGCCTGTTTTCTTCGGTTTGCACGCGGTAGCACACTTTTTCTCGAGTGCCTGCCCCGCTCCCGCCCCCCTCCCAGTCTTCTTCCTACCGATACCTTTTAACCTCTAGGCCGCAACGGGCCACCGCCACTTGTTTTACGGTTCGCTGCATGTACGAGCATGAGCGGCTAGTGTGTGGTTGCCGAGGGCAGGGGAAGGGGAGGGGAGCTTTGGAATGTCCAGCCCACCCTTTCCCCATTCGAAAGTGCCCATTCTAGGGTTGCAAATTTCAGTTTTGAACTAGATCTTCTCGCGGGGCCAACGCGAACGAAATTCATTAACTCGGTACCTAGCGGGCTTTAAGTGCAGAATCCTGTTGCCTGGCTGACCCACAGTGGGCCAGAAGACCGATGGTGGCGGTCAAAATCCCGGACGCGTTTTGAGGTCCACCGTCGCCAAATGGGGCTCGAACCGAACGTGTGACCCCACCAATGGATTGCTCTCCGAACGAGGCATCCATTGGTGGGGTCACACGCTTGTTTCGAGTCCTGTTTAGCGACTCCGGCGGTCAAAACGCGTCCTGAATTTTGACCGCCTCCACCGATCTTCTGGCCCACTGTGCCGGGGTGACTGGGCCGGGCTGGGCCGGGCTAAGCCGGGCTGGGCCCGGGGGCTTTTATTTTACAAAGCAGTAATCCGGCACTTAATTTGGCGGAAAGGCGTTTAGGGGGGACGGACGGACAGGGCCCAGGGCCCAGGCCTTGGCCCAGGCCGCGAGCCCGCCGTGAGCCTGTAGGCTGCCTGCTCCGCGCTCCGCCTGCCCGCCAGTCCCTACCCAGGCCCTGCCCAGGCCCTGCCCAGGCCCCACAAATCAACTCATAATCAGCAATTAACATACAATGGACCCACCGCCCCTCTCAGAAAGTGAGGGACTCCCCCCCCCCCAACCTTCCTGTCTTGCATTTGTCCGCACATATTTGGCATTTTCGGCGAAGCCAAATTTTGCCGCTTGTTCCAAACCTGTAAGCAAGCTAGTCGAAAAAAGCAAAGGTGATCACAGCAAGCCAGCTTTCATGCTCGTCCAGAAAACCTTCCACCTCTCTCAGCAGAGCATGCGCTCCTTAATAAACCAATTTTAATTTTCCCCGTTGTGCATCATGCATCCAAAGTAAGCCAGTCTGATAACAAACCTTTTATTGGTGACGCAGCAGTCAGTCTGGGTCCGGTGTGGCGGGGCGGGGCGAGGCGGCCGGAACCGCCTTGGCAGACAGCGAGGCGCCGCGTGTGGGGCCCGTGGGGCCGAAGAGAGGGGGGAGGGAGATGGCCACAGGGCCGCGGGGGAGGGAGGGGTGGGAGGGGCAGTACCTGTTTGGGTCACGTTGTCTTCCTCTGGTTTCGCTCTCAGTTCTTTTCTTTCATTCATGCTGCCGAGTGGAAAGGGGAGGACGATAGTTTGACCAGTTTCCGCCAATGAGTGCAGCGCAGTGTACAGTGGGCCAGAAGACCGGGAGGCGGCTAAAATTCTAGACGCGTTTTGAGCTCCACAGTCGATAAATGGGCCTCGAACCGAACGGGTGACCCAACCAATGGATTGCTCGTCCGGAGAGTAATCCATTCGTGGGGTCACACGCTCGGTTCGAGTCCTGTTTAGCGGCTCTGGAGCTCCGCGCGTTGCATAGCGTGTGCTGCTACACTGTTACAGGGGCTTTCCGCACAGAGCCGCTTTAACTTGAACTTGACCTCCGTGGAGTGGGCGCGGTGGCATTGTACAGCGCGTGTGAGTGCAAAGTCTTATTTCCGGTGGGACTCACTCCGAACCACCACGCAGTCTGTCAATTTCTTTGTGCTCGCCGATAAATTTGTAGAGCGTTCAAAAACTATTTTTATTTTTCTCAAATAAAACAAAAGGCAGGTTCATTTAATTTCCCAGAGCCACTTCTCCAGACCGAAGGCACGCCGCTTTCTCAGAGTCTGTCCGAGTGGCAGTCCCTCTGGAAAAGCCAAGTATTTTTTGCTCTGTCCGCTGGCCCTGCTGGCCGTGCCGGCGGTGTGGCACTATGTAGCGAATCATCGGCAGAGACTTGACAGGAATGGAGGCAATCTGAGGGCCCATTCCGGCTGGTGCCTTAAAATGTTGCCTACGCGGTGCTACGCGGACACAGGCTCCCCGTCGCGCGCCCACCGTGTGTGGGTCACCGGTACACCACGCGAAAAAAAAAAAAAACTTTCTCAGCGAAATTTTTACTGAGCTCAGTGTCACTACTCTTCGGTTTCTTGACATTTTTCTCTCATGTGTGGAAAAAGAATGAATCTTTCTGGGGTCCTAGATCAACTAAAACTGTTAAAAATGTTGAATCACATTATTGTTTCTCTAGCCTTCAAAATATAGGCCAAACACGTTGGCTATAGAGACTGCTGTCAAAGTTGTCGCTCCGCGTCGCCGATTTTTTGTCAGTGCAGGTGCCTGCGTGTCTGTCTCCGCGCCGCCCTTTGGGCGCTTTCCGTCACGTGTGACGGTGTGACATTTGGGCAGACGGTTTACGGGCCGTCCCGGTCCGGGATTGGCCATCCAGGCCAGCCAGGCCAGCCGGGCGGCTCGCTCCGAGTCTCCGCGGCCCACCGCGGCCGGACGGCCGGGACGGCCGGGACGGGCAGGATTATGAAAATTTGCAGGGATTTAGCATACATGTGGGCCACGAAGCGCAAACTCGCCATGGGAACGGAGCTCGCAGGCCATGTGAAATGAAAGAAAGTTTTTACTTTGTCTTGCAGATGTCTGGACTGCTGTTGGTGTGCGCTTGGCTGTTGGGCCCCCCTCTGGGCCCCCCTCTGGGCCCCCCACTGGGGCCCTCTTTGGGGCGCGGCCTGCTGGGACCCCTCGCGCTGCTGGTCGCCCTGGCGGAAGGTGAGAATGAGAAAACTATCTCAAACACACGCGCGCCGCGTACGCCGCGCGCGCCGCCATGCCCCACATGGAGTTGGGGCTTCCGCCGCCAGGAGGCGCCACCGCGCCACAGGAAGTGTGGACTTCCCTTCTCACAAAGAAGAAACAGGTTCACATGTCCCGGTCTCGGTGTAGCACTGTAGCACTGTGAAGTGAAGCACAGGCACGAAGGACCAATTTCCGGGTCACGGTCGGAAAAGTCGTCAACGCCGCACTGTCTCTCTCGCACCCCGACGGGGCACAGTGGGCCAGAAGACCGGTGGAGCCGGCCAAAACTCTAGACGCGTGTTGAGCTCCAGAGTCGCTAAATGTGGCTAAATGGGACACGAACCGAACGTGTGACCCCACCGATGGATTCCTCGTTCGGAGAGCAACCCATTGGTGGGGTCACACACTTGGTTCAAGTCCCATTTAGCGACTCTGGAGCTCAAAACGTGTCTAGAGCTTTGGCCACCTCCGCCGGCCTTCTGGCCCACTGTGCGGCACGCCCTGTGAGTGCGAGAGAGACAGAGTGGCGTTTGTTTGACGCGGTTTGTGTTGCAGCCGTGCCAGCGGCCAGGGGCCCGATGCTGGGCCCGATGGGCCCGCTGGGCCCGCTGGGCCCCATCCCCAGCCCGCGCATGGACTTCGACGAGTGGACGCCGCTGGGCCACGGCGACCCGCTCAAGAACGACCCCACGTACGACTACGTGCCGCCCGTGCTGGACCGCGTGCACTACTGGATGGAGGAGAGCAGCGCGCGGCGCGACGTGGACCTGAACGCCGTGCCCGTGCCCGCCACGATGCTGGTGCCGCCCCCGCCGCCGCCGCCCGCGCCCACCACGGCCGCCTTCACCGGCGCCCCGCCGTCCTACTCCAGCCTGAACCCGTTCCACCACTTCGAGGACCGGCCCGTGGTGCCGAACGTGCTGTTCGAGGAGAAGCCCTTCGGGAGCTTCGACGCGCAGGGCTTCGGGGACGTGCTGCGGGACGCGGCGCCCACGCCGTCGCCGGTGGTGCAGCACCAGCCCCTGCTGGGCCCCACGCCCGTGGCGGGGCCGCTGCTGCCGACGCCGCACAGCCCCACGCCGGCGCCGCGGCCGCCCCGGCCGCCCAGTCCCAACGCCATCCGCGCCGAGCCGGCCAAGTCCAGCAAGCTGGCGCCGCCGCCGCGAGGGCCGCCCCCCAAGGCCGCCGTCAAGCCGCCGGGCAGGCCGCCGGGCAAGCCCACCCGCCACGACGACCAGCCGCAGCTGCCGCCGCCGCCGCACATGCCTCCGAAGCCGCCACCGCCCCGGCCGCCGCAGAGCACCACGTCGGCGGCCTCGACCACCACGACGACGCCCCTGCCGTCAACGACGACCGCCAGGACGGCCCCCATGACCACCACGTCGTCCTCCATCTCCTCCCTGGTGCGCGGGCTGCTGCACCGGGAGGCCGCCACCACGGCCAGCACCCTGACCACGGACCCGCTCTTCGCGCACTACAAGCAGCCCGTGACGCCGGTGCAGGGCCCCGCCTACCTCATCATCCAGGGCCACTCCAAAGTCAAGACGTACGGGCCCGTGCTGCGACGCATCTAGGGACTCCAGCGCGGTGGGTCCAGTGCCGTGGCCAAAAACCACGAAGTCACCCTGAAAACTTAAGTGTGTACTGAGTACACACTCTTGGTAAAGTATCTACTGGGTACACACTTTGGTTTTCGGTGCGATGGGCTGGAAGGGCTGCGTTTGAAAGGCCAGTCAGCTTCAAGATTGCTGTGGAAACGAACAGCGAAACGAAGCAAAAGTACAGCCTCATTAACGAAGCCGCCCGAACCGTGCGTTCGGCTCGGCTCGGCTCGGCAGTTCTGCGTGGATCGGCTGTGCTCGGCAGTGCGTCCCGACTCGGGCGTCCATGTTCCCACGGGGTGCAATCAACACTCGACTCCTCTGACCCCAATTCGAACAGAAGATAGTCTGCGCCGCCGCGCCGCTGCGCCTGGTGCTGGGCCCGTGCGGCCTGTGCGGCCTGTGCTGGTTTTGAGCGGGAAGACGAAGCTCCTCCCTCTGTGAGTGTGGCCCGCCAGGATATTGTTCCCTCTGCCTCTCTCTCATTCTAGACAACACAAATGCTTTTCCATGTTCCCCGCGTACGAATATCTCTGCCTTCTTCAGCGGTTTCTGTTTTGCTTTCTTGTCGGGTTTCTGTTGAGTTTTTATTTTTGTTTTTGTTTTTTTTTCTTGTGATGTTTATGTTAAGTTACCATGCGCTGGGCGTGTCCTTCCCCGCCTTGTCCATCTTTCCTGTCTCTCTCTGGTCTTCTTCGGAATAAACCTGTTTTCTCGTTTCCACGGCTGTTTTCTGTTTCACCAGTGTTTCATTTCGCGTATCGGTGAACTACTCAAACTTCATCGCTCAGAATCACCATCGTAGTCTCAGCCTTGCCGGTTTCAGCAAGCGTTTATCCAATCAGGTAAAAAAAGGAAGTACAAAGCGTTTTGAAATCAATAAAAAAAACATCGTCAGTACAAATATAGTGGTTACAAATAATGAACTTATTAAATATCCCTGAAGGCACTACACTGTGAACATGAACATAAATTAGAAAAGGTTAGTGTCGCGGCGCCTAGTACTCGTCGCCGTCCTCGACCTCGCCCTCCACCGAGTCCACGCCGACCTCCTCGTAGTCCTTCTCCAGGGCGGCCAGATCCTCGCGCGCCTCGGAGAACTCGCCCTCCTCCATGCCCTCGCCGACGTACCTGTCGAAAAGCACACCGTTATTCCAAAATCTCTTTACATTTCCATAATTTATTTCTATTTTTCTACGAGTTTTGTTTTGTTTGGTTTCTATCGCGTTGTCTCGGCTCATAAAGTTTGCGCGGAGGGAATTCTGAGCGTGGTGCAACAACACCAGCCGTTGTTGATGCAGTAGGACTTTTTTTGTGAAAGAAAAATGAGCGCCGGGCGGTACCAGCGTGTACGAATGCAATGATAGAGCAATCGACGTGCCCGCAGAGTGCAGGCCAAGCTGGGCTACGTGCAGGTTAGGTTAGGCACATGTGCAGCGTTGCGTGGCCGATGGCGCACAGACACACAAAGAATGACCGATGCGTAAGGCATTTGAAATTTGGACGCGATAGTGACATCATTTCAAAAGGTGCGGAATAACATTCGTTGTGGTCGAGAAACCTCGACGCGCGCTTCCTTCGGGCCCTGCGGGGTGTGCTGGGAGTGCACGACAAATGTGGATTACGACTCGCCCCAACGCCTCCCCCTCGTTCCCCCATACCACCACACTGCTAGCTCCGCCCTGCTGATGGCAGCCCTTGATAGCGAACCAAGGGCCCTGTCCCGGAGGGCCGGCCAGCGTAGGCCAGCGGGGCGAAGGGCACTAAAGACAGAGCGGGCCGGGTACCACGCCGGAAGTCTGCAGCGGTGCCATGATCAATCAAAAAATAGGGCGCGCCCGTGAGAGAGGTCAAGCAACCCCCTCGGATGGAGGCAGAGAGGTGGGAGGTGGGGGCGAGCACAAGGAGAAACCGGCAGCAACGACCAGGGCCCACGAACCCCAGTTCTCGTTCGAATATCAATAACCCCGAACACAGCCCATTCCCCCACCCCGGCGGCACTCACGGCGACCCTCAGTGCGATAGCCATCGCGCTGTCTCCCTCGCACCATTATGGGACGCGCCACGAGTGCGAGAGAGACAGAATTAGCCCGCTGCGTGAGCGCCCCCAGTGACTCGGGGTGGTTCGTGGTTCCCCCAGACGCGACCACGGCGCCGCGTCTGTGATTAGCGCGTCGTTTCCGTCGCTCTGTCTCTCTCGCACTCAAGAGGCGTACCGTGAAGGTGCGAGAGAGACAGCGCGACGGAAGCGAGTCTGAAGCAGTCTACAGTGTGGCTGCGCGGCGCCGGCCGGTAGGCAACACATTCGACAGGGCCGCCTGCGGGCTGCCTGCCCGTCTGGGCGGCTCGCTCGCTCCGTCTCTCTCGCACTCGTGGCGCCGTGGCGCGCACCGTGCAGGTGCGAGAGAGACGGAGCGACAGCCCGTCCCGCTTGTTTGCACGCGCTCGCGCCGCACGCGCGTGCAGGCCGCGCGGTCACGCGATGCGTCAAGTAAAGGGAGCGTGCGTGCGCGAGCAGTGGAGGCGAAAAGGGGGCGGGGTGGGGGTGCCATCGACTTGTTGAGACGACCGTGCAACCTGGACGCCTCGCTCCCTTTTCCCCGACGCACAAAACACCCTGGCCGTGGTGACACGGAGCGGTGCCGCCGCGAAAGTAGGCAAACGTTCCCACCATGCGCCTGTGTCGAAAAGGCTGCACAGTGGGCCAGACAACCGGTGGCGGCGGCCAAAACTCCAGACGCGTTTTGAGCTCCAGAGTCGCTAAATGGGACTCGAACCGAACGTGTGACCCCATCAATGGATTCCTCGTTCGGAGAGCAATCCATTGGTGGGGCACACGCTCGGTTCGAGTCCCATTTAGCGACTGGAGCTCAAAACGCGTCTGGAGTTTCGGGCGCCGCCTCTGTGGGCAGCCTGCTTGCTGGGGGACCTACCAGTGCACGAAGGCCCGCTTGGCGTACATCAGGTCGAACTTGTGGTCGAGGCGCGCCCAGGCCTCCGCGATGGCCGTGGTGTTGGACAGCATGCAGACGGCGCGCTGCACCTTGGCCAGGTCGCCGCCGGGCACCACGGTGGGCGGCTGGTAGTTGATGCCCACCTGCAAGTCCACCGTTAGAACTGACAGTGGTGCGAATTCGGGGCGTCGCCGTCAAGCAGTGAGCGACGTACCTTGAAGCCCGTCGGGCACCAGTCCACGAACTGGATGCTCCTCTTGGTCTTGATGGTGGCGATGGCGGCGTTCACGTCCTTGGGCACCACGTCGCCACTGCCAGGGACACACCGGCGCGTCAGACAGGCGCACACCCCTCCCTCCGGCCAGCACAGTATGAGAAACTCACCGGTACAGCATGCAGCAGGCCATGTACTTGCCGTGCCGCGGGTCGCACTTGACCATCTGGTTGGCGGGCTCGAAGCACGCGTTGGTGATCTCGGACACCGTCAGCTGCTCGTGGTAGGCCTTTTCGGCGGAGATGACCGGGGCGTAGGTGGCTGCGGAAATATCATGGGTTCAATACTCGGTAAGAAATAAATTTTTCTCGCTTTTTTTCTGCAGTGTTGCGCGTGTGTGGCTCTGGCTGTCTGCTTCTTGATCGTGGGGGCGCCCCCCTGACAGGTCAGCAAACACAGCAAACCGTCCGGGCTGGAACGCCAAATTTCACGCACGCAGCACACATACAGTGGCGTGAGCCAACACGAGTGTGACGTGTTTGCAGCGCCCTGGGCAGCCCTTGCAGTGACCATATGGTTGGCTACACAGCGTCGGGTGGCGACCCTATGAACGACACGCTGTTTCCTCAGAACCAGCGCTAGCGCAAGAAATCGATGCAAGTGGTCACCATATCCCGGAAGGTGCATTCCAGAGTCCGCCGGGGGGTCACTCTACCGGCAGGCCCGCAGGGGGTGCACGCGAGGCGACGGCACTAGTGGCAACCCTACGTTCTGAGGAATAATGGATGACTGGCGCTGAGGCCTGTGAAAGGTTGACAAAGGGGCATACCCAGCGGGAAGTGGATGCGCGGGTACGGCACCAGGTTGGTCTGGAACTCGGTGAGGTCCACGTTGAGCGCGCCGTCGAAGCGCAGCGAGGCCGTGATGGAGGACACGATCTGGCCGATGAGGCGGTTCAGGTTGGTGTAGGTGGGCCGCTCGATGTCCAGGTTGCGGCGGCAGATGTCGTAGATGGCCTCGTTGTCCACCATGAAGGCGCAGTCCGAGTGCTCCAGCGTGGTGTGCGTCGTCAGGATCGAGTTGTAGGGCTCCACCACGGCCGTGGACACCTGCAGCAGCAACATGATTAACGGGTGCAGAGGTGATTTTTTGGGGGTTGGTCACCTATTTTTAGTTACGGACCTGCGGCGCCGGGTAGATGGAGAACTCAAGCTTGGACTTCTTGCCGAAGTCGACGGAGAGGCGTTCCATCAGCAGCGACGTGAAGCCAGAGCCGGTGCCGCCCCCGAACGAGTGGAAGATGAGGAAGCCCTGCAGGGGCGAGGATGGCACAGAAACTCTCAAACCAGCACAGAAACAATTCGTGGGCGTCTTTGAAAATAGGCGCGCGTACCTGGAGGCCGGTGCACTGGTCGGCCAGCTTGCGGATGCGGTCCAGCACCAGGTCGACGATCTCCTTGCCGATGGTGTAGTGGCCGCGCGCGTAGTTGTTGGCGGCGTCCTCCTTGCCCGTGATGAGCTGCTCCGGGTGGAAGAGCTGGCGGTAGGTGCCGGTGCGCACCTCGTCCACCACGGTGGGCTCCAGGTCCACGAACACGGCGCGCGGCACGTGCTTGCCGGCGCCCGTCTCGCTGAAGAAGGTGTTGAAGGAGTCGTCGCCGCCGCCCAGCGTCTTGTCGGACGGCATCTGGCCGTCGGGCTGGATGCCGTGCTCCAGGCAGTACAGCTCCCAGCACGCATTGCCGATCTGCACGCCCGCCTGCCCGATGTGGACCGAGATGCACTCCCTCTGCAGCGGAAGGGGAAGCCCGGTTCACAGTGGATTGGCCGGAAGACCCGTGGAGGCGGCCAAAACTCTGGACGCGTTTTCAGCCCCAGAGTCGCTTAGCAGGACTCGAACCGAACGTGTGACGCCACCAATGGATTCCTCGTTCGGAGACCAATCCATTGGTGGGGTCACACGTTCGGTTCGAGTCCCATTTAGCAACTCTGAAGCTCAAAACGCGTCCGGGATCTCGACCTCCTCCACCGGTCTTCTGGCGACACTTCTTTATTTCCCAGAGCGTTTGACGCCTAGAATTAAGTTGTCGTTGCCGGGCAGTAATTTTTTGAAGCATGGACATCATTTGCATGCGACACTGTGAGGAGGTGGGGGAGGGGAGTACTGCTGTTCCCTCCCTTATCGCCGTGGGACCGTTTTGCTTTTCAAAACGGCGGCACTTGCGGCAGAAGGTGCAAAGCAGCAAAACAGTGCGGAGTCTCGCCCGCCTTGGCTCGCCCCACGCGAGCGACACGCGAAAAATGAGCTGTTGGTTCCAAGCAAACAGTTGCAAGTTGACCCAGCGATATGGAATTACTACGGTTTGATCGACGAGGCAACCTAATTCATCTCAGGCGAAAAGTTTGCCGGCCGAAGACCATTTAGTACTTGCAAACTTTTTTTCTGTTTTTCGCGCGTGACCCGAAAGGGGGCACAAGGCCCTGGCCGCGGGGGCACAGCCACGCCACGCCCCGTCGCACAATAAAAAGTGACGTCATCGGGGAAGGGAAGGGGGAGGGGGTTTGTCAAATCATCGTGGAAGGGAAGGAAAGCGTTTTGTGCCCCCTCGCGAAGCACCCGTGCCTGGCACACGCTAACAACAACAACAACAACAACAACTTGGGGGGCACGCAAGCAGCAACAACAACAAATTCCCCGCGCGACTTCGCCCTGACGCAGCAACAACAACAGCAGGGAAATGTGCGGCACGCGGCCACGCTGTAAAAACGGCGGGAAGGGACCGTTCCTCCGGGACAGCACGCCAATTCCCGTTTTAGACAAATTACAGCCACCTAGTGTACTTATCATTTGCAAAGTTGCGCCTTATGGACGTGCATTAGGAGTGCGTCAAGAAAACTGCTACTTTTTCCTCCTAGGGGGCCTGAATAATGCAGAAGGCATTTCACACTAGGTTGCCGTGCTGCCGGGGCCCGTCTCGGGCACTGAACCGCGAAAAGTGGAAGTGAGAGGGGGAGGGGGGACTGGAGGACGTCAGGGCGCGTCTTAGCTAGGTCCACCAGAGCGAGACTGTTTGAATCATCTTCTCTATGACCGGTCGCACCGCTGGCGTTCCTTGGGCGTTCCCGGGCGTTCCCCGGGCGTTCCCGGGCGTTCCCTATTGGGCGTTCCCTAGACGCGGTTCGGGTGTGCCCGCCCGCCAGGCGACCGGGGGGTCTTGTAGTGTAGTGACGGAAGCACCGCCGGGGACACTCGTGTCGTGCACTGTACGTAATGTTGACGTCGTCCATGAGCCGCCACAGCAAAGTTACGAAAATTCAAAAATAAAATAATTTTCTTTTTATTTTACTCTTTTTTTTATTTTTGCGACCGCCCGTTGCTTTGCAATGGTGTGCAGACTGCTCTCGCCTTGCAGGGAAGTCCACATGTGTGTCCGCGAACACACCCACATTAATTTTCGAGTGCATCTGGGCTGGGCATCTGCCCCGCGTCTACTCGACCGCAAAACTGTTGCGGCCGCGCCGCGCTTACAAGGACATGTGGGGTCCTGTCAAGAGAGAGAAAGGGGGAGGGGGGCTGCCTTCAAACTTTTATGTCAACCGCTGCCGTCAGAACATGTACGGCTCGTCTAGGTCTAATTCCCTAATTACGTTTAGGCCAATTAAATTAAGGAGAGAAGGAACTCGTTGTCTAGTGCGGTACCGCCGCGCCACGCGCACTCATGGCGAACAAGGAGCACTTCTTTGGTTTTGTAAGACTAAACAATGTCGTTTTTTATCATTTTTTTTCAACGGTAAATGCTTTTTGTTTTGTCAAGATAAAGTCCATAGATGGATTTCTTTCGGTTGAAGCTGAATGCGTTTTGGAGTTACCCAGTCGTTTTTCATTGTTTCTTTAGCGCTGTAAGCGCAACGCACCGCGCATAGGTCCAATTAAATTTCGAACGCACTAACAAGACAAACAGCATGTAAGTATCGGTTCCGACAGACACGCACACCAGCAAGGCTGCCCTCGCCGCACCTCGCCGTCGATGAGAAGTCACACCGTGGCACCCGTCGGTGCTCGAGGTACCCGCGAGGCGCCCGAGGTACCCGTGGCAACCGGAGGCAGGGCCGGTCGGGTTACGCCTGCCGAGCATGACGGGTACCTGCGGGTACCTCGGCAACGGGTACCGGCGCACAGTGGGCCAGAAGGCCGGTGGAGGCGGTCGAAATCCCGGACGCGTTTTGAGCTCCGGAGTCGCTAAATGGGACTCAAATCGAACGTGTGACCCCACCAATGGATTGCTCTCCGAACGGGGAATCCATTGGTGGGGTCCACGCTCGGTTTGAGTCCTGGAGCTCAAAACGCGTCTAGAGTTTTGGCCGCGTCCACCAGTCTTCTGGCCCACTGTGCCGTGGTACCCTGCATCCACACCGTCATCCTGCTTCTCCTTCTCCTTCTCCTCGGCACTGGATTCATCAATAGCGGTCTTTATTGTTCTCGCAGCGTTTCGAGGACTCTCAGCGCCGACAGTGGCGCGGCACCGTAGACCGGGCGCCGCGGGTACCGGGTCTCTGGGCCGGCCGAGCGATTCTGGAGAGTCGTTTCGTCGCTGCGTCTCCTTCGCACCCCTGCGGGATGCCCCATGAGCGCGCGGCCTGCGCGCCTAATAATGGCGGGGTAGGCAAACCTACGCCACGGCGCGCAGGCATGCTCAACGGGACTGCCTACCCCGCCAGGGGCCTCAGCTCACGCACTGCACAGGGGGCCAGAAGGCCGGTGGAGGCAACGCGTTTTGAGCTCCAGAGTCGCTAAAGAGGATTCGAACCGAACGTGTGACCCCACCAATGGATTCCTTGTTCGGAGAGCAACACTGTGAAACCAAACGTGGACAACTCCACACTTCCTGGTGTGGAGTAAGTCTCCACACTTGGAAGTGCAGAGTACGCAGTCTCCGCACTTCAAGTGTGGAGCAGCTCACATGGCCCCTATCTCTTTGCATGGTGCAAACGTGGACAACTCCACGTTTGAAGTGTGGAGACTGCAAACTCTGCACTTCCAAGTGTGGAGACTGAAAATTCCACTCCTCCGCATTTCAAATGTGGAGTTGTCCACGTTTGGTTTTACAGTGAATCCACTGCTGGGGTCACACGTTCGGTTCGAGTCCTCTTTGGTGACTCAGGAGCTCAAAACGCGTCTTGAGTTTTAGCCGCCTGCGTCGGTCTTCTGGCCCACTGCGCGAACCAAGGATCGGGCACAACGCCGCCTATTACTCTATTTAGCCGCCACCCACACAGGCGTCGTTTTTCGCTCGGCTCAGTGGGGCAGGCTAGGCCGGCCAAATGATGGCCGAAGGCCACACGGTCAAAATTTTGGTCGTCACTTGATGACAATTTCAAGGCTGATTTTCCTTACGAGAGTGTCACCGAACGATGTAATCAATTTGTGACGAAACTACCGCGTTTTTCAAGTTGCGTCGTCCATGATGGTGACAACGAATTTCCACAGTGCACTGGCCAATCTATACTTCTTGCCCCTCGCTGTCCGCCGACACTGTAATAACCCGCGCTATAAACTCGGCCCCCAGCCCAGCATTGCGTCCGCTTTTCCATTTTCCCGATTGCTGGGCATGTCATTTCCTCGCTTTACGGCTCGCCGTCTCTCTCGCACTCACGGGGCGTACCCTGCGGGTGCGAGAGAGACGGGGTGAATGCCGTGAGGTTGGGGTACCGTGACAAGGTCGCCTTACTTTCGACGAAAAGCGCCCGCCCCCGCCCCCACCCCTCGCATCGATCCGCTGGAAGGACGAAGGACCTCGCTTCCTTGTTGCAGGCCGGTCAAACAAAGGATGTTGCGCCCTTCCATTCGGCAGCACCAACATGACAAACTACCAGTCAACAACGCCAAAAAAATTATTTACGAAAACAAAATTAGAACAAAGTACTGCTCTAAGTTACTTTCCGCTGGCACACAACTGTCGCTCACATCGAACCAGAATTGACTTCTCTGAGAGAAAGTGCGCTTGGTGCTTTTTCTTTTCGACTCAGGAGTGACGTGCTACATGAAAAATTGCGCACAGTTATTTTTGTCTAAATGTCGCTGGGGGCAAGAAATGGAGGGAAGAACCAAATCCCTTAGGAGACACGCTAGTGGCCCCGGACTACTTGCCATGTTGGAATGTCCTTGGAAGTCCTTGGGGGTCCTTGGAAGGCCTGGGTGTCTCCGGGGAGGGAAGGCGAAGGCGTCTCGGTGTCGCAGACTGGCTCAGCAACTGGCTACGCGCCGCCGAGCTAGGCTTGACTTGGACTGGCGGCGGCCAGCGGCGCAGCGCGCAGCGCGGGGCGCAGACTGTGCCCCGCCCCACCCCACCCCGCCTCGCCTCGCCCCACCCCACCCCGCCCCCGCCCTCCCCAACCCCCTCGCCCAACCCTCCACGCCACGCCACGCCACGCCGGTTCACACGTGCACTATACCGTCTCGTTACTGCGAGTAATTGCCAGCGCACTGTAAACGCTAAAAATGTAAAGCGAAAGACAAAAAAAAATTACTGGGAACTCGCGGGAAAGGGGTAGGGGTGGAATGACAAGACGGGAATTGGTAGCATTTTGTCCGGTGCGGTACTCGGGGCTGGAGGGCAGCATTCGGGCAGGAGCACGGCGGTGACGGCCTCGAGGAGGAACGCCGGCAGACTCCTTGAACCGAGCAACGGGGACGGTCAGGGCACTGTAAAAATTCAAGTCCGAGGTGCGCCCTTTGCAAGGCCCTTGCCTAGAACTGGTCCTGGTGGTCCTCGCGGTGCAGGTCTTCGTCGGAGGGCTCGGAGGGCTCGGAGGGCTCCTGGCGTCGTTGCGCCAGTAGGATGTGCATGCGGGCGAGTGGCGACAGGTCGGCCTCGGGCACCAGCTGCAGGCCGCAGTACGGGCAGGGCGTCGTGGCGCTCGCGGCCTCCTGGCGGGCCCGGATGGCCGTCGTGGACCTGGCCGACGGATTGGTATCAACACGGGGGTGGCGGCGCCGCGATGACACCCAGGCCGTCGTCGTCGTCGTCGTCTACCTGGCCCGCTTGAGTCCCGCGGTGGCGGACTGCAGGCTGGCGGTGCGTCGCGGTGGGGGCGGCGCCAGCTCGGGCAGGTCCAGGGCGCGGATCTGCGCAAGCGGCGCAAGCGGCGTGAGCCACACTCGAGTGAAGGGCGCGGCCTGGAGGGCATGCCTGGGCGGCCCAGGACGATGGCCCCCACCTTCTCGTGTAGGCGGCGCAGCGTGGCGTGCAGTGGGCCCAGCTCGCGCTCGCAGGCCTCCATGGTCCTGGCCAGCACGGAGCGCCGCCGCGCCGCCGCGTCCATGACGGACAGCACCGAGGCCCACTCCTGCGACAGGGGCAGGGATGGAGTCAACAGCAGTAAAAAGGAGCGCGGTGTCGGGGTTTGAACCACCAACCTCGCCGCAGTTGGAGCACCGCCGCAGCCTGTCGCCGGGCCGCGGCGTGTAGGTCCCCGCCGAGTAGGTCCCCGCCGCCCGCGCCGCGGCCGCGCGCGTCGCCGCGTCCTCGCAGGTGCAGAACGTGGGTCCCCCGAGGGCAGATTGCTCGCCCGATGCGGAGGGACCGCCACCGGGGCCGCCAGGCAGGACGTCGTCTCGCACGTCATCGTCCTCGGGCTCCTCCGCCAGGGCGTCGCCGGCCGGCATGGAGAGCAAGCGGCCGTTCTCGTTCACCACCACGGCCAGCGGAGGGAACGGCGTGTCCCGCCGCATGACGGGGTGCTCCACGTCGCCGTCGTCGGGGACCCGCTGAGTCCCTGGCGTCCCGGTGGACGCGCCGGTGGACGCGAGTGAGGTGGGGGCGGACACGGCTGTCGCGCGTTCCGCGGAGCTGGCCCACCGCAGCCCTGCTGCATCTCGGCCTTCGCGGCCTTGGCCACGGCCTTGACCGCCAGCGACGGCGCCGTCCTTGCGGCGGCTGGACAGGCACTCGCTCTTGAGGGTGGGGCGCGGCGCGTCGTCCGCGGCGGCCGCCACTCCCCCGGCTGACGGCGGCGACGGCAACTCGGGCTCGCTGGGCGGCGCCAGGAGGGTCGCTGACGTCGCGAGGACGCCGACGTCGCCCTCGGCCTTTTCGGTGGCGGGCGGCGGGCTGACGGTGATGCTGGCGGGCGGCGACACGCGTACCGGACTGTCCTGCGCCTCGGGCAGCCCTCGGGGTTTCGGCGAACCCGGAACCGAACCCGGTTCCGGTACAGGGAGGCTAGCTCCCTCCGGCGGCACTGCGTCGCCGTGCACTTCCGGTGCTGGTTCCGGTGCGTCCGGTGCGTCCAGTTCCGGCTCGGGCGCCGCGTGCCGAGACGCGTCCCTGGTGGCGAGCAGCGACGCGGGCAGGCAGGTGGAGTCGTAGGCGGGGCCCTGGCGCAGCTGCTGCAGGCGGCGCTCCACGGCGTCCACGGCGTCCACCTCGGCCCTGCCGTCGGCAGACTGGTCCGGCTCACCAGGGCCCTCTTCCGGTTTCCCTACTTGTTCATCTCCGCCTCCCAGATCGGCAGGGGCGCTGGGAGAAGCGCTCATAGGGGCGCTGTGTGCGGCGCTAGGTACCCCACTTTTGGTGGCGCTTTTAGCGGGGCTGAGCACAGCACTTTGGACGGGACTTTGGGCAGCACTTTCGGCAGGACTTGGGGCTGTGCTTTGGGCAGCGGTTTGCGCAGCGCTCTGGGGAGCACTTTTGGCTGGACTTTGGGCAGCAGTCTTGGCAGGACTCTGGGGAGCGCTATGGGCAGACGCGGTGGGTGCGATTTCTTGGGCGACGTCATCAGCAGGTGGTAGGACTGTTCGTAAGCACTCGCTGTTGTAAGGCGCCTTCCTCACAGAGGCCTGCATTTCAGGCGTCGTTTGTGGCGTTGCCTCGGCTGGAGCTTCAGGGGGAGCTTTCATTTCGCTCGGCGGTTTTGCCTCCAGGCCGACGGCGTCCTCGGCCGGCAGTTCTTCTGGAGGTGCTGTCTCCGGGGTGGTGTCGGGTGCTTCATCTGAGGCTTCGAACGGAGCTTGAGGTTCAGCTTGGCTCGACGGGGTAGCCTCGTCAACGTCGTCAGCGGGCAGGGCTGCTGGTGGGGCGTCTCCTGGTGGTGCTTGCTCTGGCGCTTGTTCTGCCGGAGCTTGTTCTGTTGGCAGTTGTTCCGTTGGTGCTAGTTCCGTTGGTGCGTGTTCTGTTGGCACTGGACGTACTTCAGGGAGTGCTTCATCTGGCGCCGGTTCGGCCGCCTCGGCCTCTGCTTCGGCCACGTCGATGTCGGTCACGGAGTCACCCTTGCCGCTGTCCGAGTCCCCGATGGGCACCTCCTGGATCTCGGTCTGCGGCGGGGCGGCGGCGTCGTCGAGTCTGACGGGCACGTGCTCCGCGCTGGCCGGCGCCGTGGACCGCTGCGGCGGCGGCAGACACTCACTCTTAAAGCGCTGCATCGGCTGCTCCGCCTCTGCTTCCGGTTCACCTACTTCCGGCTCGCTAGCTTCCGGTTCGCCTACTTCCGGTCCACCAGCTTCCGGTTCAGCAACCTCCGGCTCCCCGGCCTCCGGTTTGGCAACTTCTGGTACACCAGCCTCGGGTTTGTCAGCTTCCGGTTCACCAACTTCCGGCTCGCCGGCTTCCGGTACGGCAGGAAGTGGTCCGGCGGCCAAATTAATATCCGATTCAGCCGCGCTTTCCGGGACAGCCTCTTCCTGTTCAGCCTCCGTTTCATCTGTTTCCGGAACAGCTTCGAGTTCAGCTTCCAGAATGACTTCCGGTTCGTCGGTTTCCGGGACGTGTTCCGAACTCGTTGGCGCCGTGCCTCGAGGCTGAGACAAGCACTCGCTTTTGATGGTCTGCATCGCGACCTCCGGTGTCACTACCGGTACTTCTTCCTGTATGACCTCCGGTGGCACTTCCGGTGCCACTTCCGGTGCGTCTTCCGGTGCGTCTTCCGGTGCGTCTTCGGGTGCCACTTCCGGTGCCTCTTCCCGTGCCACTTCCGGTGCCTCTTCCCGTGCCACTTCCAGTGCCTCTTCCGGTACCTCTTCTGGTGCGTCTTCCGGTGCCACTTGCAGCGTGCCTTCAGGGGCAGCAACCACTTCTTCCGGCACAGTCTCAGGACCACTTTCCAGTACAGCATCAATCTCACTTTCCGGTGCAGCCCGCAGTTCGACCTCCGGTGTCGTTTCCGGAACTGCTTCCGGCTCTGCTTCCGGTTTCGTAGGCTCCGTTGCGTCTGGTTCGGCCGGCCCCGGAACCCGCTCGGAGCTCGTGGGCAGCGTGGAGGGCTGTGTCGACAAGCACTCGCTTTTGAAGATCTTGACGTCTTCCACCGCACCAGCGGCAGCAGACTCTCCGGGCGGCTCCTCCGGGGTCACAGCTTCGCGCGAGATTTCCGGTGCAGTCTGCATTTTGGATTCAGATTCTGCGGTCCTTTGGGCTTCCGGTTCAGCGGCCTCGGCTTGAGCAGGCACGCGTTCGGAGCTCGCGGCCACCGGCGTCCGCGGCTGCGACAGGCACTCGCTCTTGAGCTCCGCCACGCGTTCCGGTGCCGCGGCCTCGGCCTCGTCCAGCATGCCCTGCTCGTCCTGCTGCTCGTTGGCGGGCGGCATGGCGTCCACGACGGCCCCGAACTTGACCCCCACGCCGCCCTTGTCGAAGTCCTTCTCCAGCACGGGCTCAGCCTTGACGACCGCGGTCTCCTCTCCCGCCTCCTGGTCCTGCTCGTCATCACGCTCGTCTGCTGTCGCGTACGCCGCGCCCTCGTCGCCCTCCTCCTCCGTGTCCGTCACTCCCTCGTCGCCCGTCATGAAATCCGACTCCTCCGCGATGTCCGGGGCTTGGGGCGGCATGTCCGGGAGGTCGGCCTCGGGCAGTGGGTCATCTGCGAGCGCGGTGACCTCAGGGAGCGTCGCCGTGGCCTCGGCGGCGTCCGCGACGATGGTGACCTCGGCCTCGGCCTCCTGCACTCCCTCGTCGGCCACGTTGGCCTCCGACCTCGTCGCGTCCCCGGCCTCGTCCCGCGCGTCTTCCTGGTCCAGGCACACGCTCCGCTCGACCTCGCCCAGGGCGCTGCTGGACTTGCCCCCCTTCTCGTTCTTAGCCTTGGCCAGCTCCTGGCCGCTGTCGCCGCGCCCTAGCGTGCCGCCAGGGCTGACGGCGCCGTGCTCCGAGGCCGCGCCCACGGCGCCGGTGTCGCCGACGGTGTGCTTGGACGCCATCAGGGACGCCTCCTCGGCGACGCGCGGCGTGCTGGGCGAGGCCGCCGTCGTCTGGTGGCACGTGGCGCTCGTGTCCTCCCCGAAGATGCCCCTTGGCTTGGCGGGCACGGCGGGCACGGCCAGCATGCCGCTGGAGTGCGCCGAGCTGCACGTCGCCGTCGAGCCTCCCCGGGCCAACAGGCCTTTCGACATCCGCTGCACCAGGTCGGCGTGGTCGCCTGTGCCGAGGTTAAAAAGTCGTAAAGCCTATATTTTGTCGTGAGCCGAGCGCAACCTAGCGTGAAAAGGGTCCTTACTGCTAGCGACCACTTCCACGTCGGCGTCCTCGTCGTCTACGGTCAGGATGACGTCGGTGGTCTCGTCGGCGTCGGCCGGAGCCTTGGGTTCGCCGTTAGCAACTGCACCCTGGGGCTGGGCTGCTGGCTCGGCTGCGGGTTTCGCTGGAAGCCAGACCGGATACCCTTCAGTACGAGGGCACAACGAGGCCATCAAAAGGACCTTCTTGAAGGCAAACCTGTCAGCGGCCTTCCGGAGCACGCAGCGCTGCTGTCGTCGCCCTGGATGTTCTTGTAGCGCGGCCGCGCCGCCTCGCCCTTCCCGACGTCCTCTGCAGACACGGCGCTTGGGCGCGCAGACTCCGCGGCCGACCTCCTCGCCGTCGAGGTCGTGGAGGCCGCGCGGGCCGAACCGGCGACACTGCCTACCACCCCCTACGCCGAAGGGTATCAGCAACCGACGAGGTTTGTGAAGCGAGGTTGAAGGCGGCCCCTACCTCGCTGTTCAAGGCGCGGCCCTGCGGTGGTGCGGCAGCAGCTGCAGCAGTGCTCGTCCGCGAGGTGCCCGACGGCGTCCGCGCTTTGGAGAACAGCGCGGAGGTCCGCGGGTGCGAGCGGCGCAGCGTGGGCCGGTAGCTGCACCCCAGACTGGTCTCGTCGCCGAACAGCCCCCTGCCGAGCCGCTGCTGGTCCTGCGGGTCCTGCGGGGGCGGGCCGCCCTGGCCGAGGTCCTGGCTGCCGTGGCTGACTTGGCTGGCGGGCTGGCTGGCGAGGCTGCTGCCGATGCCGCTGTCCTGGCGGGCGCGTTCAAGCTGGGTCTGTCGGAAGGACCCCGCCGGCGACGTGGCCGCGGGCGGCGCCGAGCGCTCCCGAGCCGAGCGTCGCGACCTGCCACAGCAGTCCTCGGTCGTGAAGAGATGACCTTCCCCTCGTCCAAAGTGCTTGGTGTCACAGGTCACCTGGTGGTGGTCCTGCTGCCGCCAGACACCACGCTGGCCCTGCGGCTGGCGTTGGGGGCCGCCACGGAGCCCGGCCGCGAGCCCCTGGTCAAGAGCAGGTCCACGGACGTCGGCAGCGGCACCGCAGACGCCGTCGTGGACGCGAGGCCGCCGCGGCCCGTCGCCGTGCACGAGACGGACGTCGGCGAGCCCTGCACGTTCCTCGACGTCGGCCGCGGCGGCCTCGGGGGGCGGCCCTCCATCGTCGGGGTGCTCGGGGACCGGGTCGACGCGCGGCGCCGTCATGGTGGCCCCGGGCGGGGACCGGCCATGCCCCCCACTCGCTGCCCGTCAAACACGCATCTGGGGGAGAGGCATGGCGGCAAGGCGACGGGATGACGAACAGCGATCATTTATGGTCCGGCCATCAATGGCAACAGAGCCCTGAATGGTAATGGCACGGCACACAAAGCGCAACTCGCAACGCGTGCGAGTACGTTGGGCTGCCTACCTCGCGGGCGCTCCGTCCACGCTGCGCACTGCGCGCCGGGCCGGGGATGGCCGTGGAGGCGGCAGGGCTTTACATTGGGCGGGAAAGGAAAGGCATCAGTTTTTGTTTACGGTGTCATGGCCTCCTGCCCGGGAGGAGTTCCATGGTGGTTGCGTTGTAGAGGGCGCAGCGTCGACTGCCAACAATGCGGACCCACCTTCCTCTCCCCAGTCGGGATTAAACCCGTCGTGTTTTGGAGATTTGTTTCCGAGGAAACACATGCTTAGTCATTCGAATACCGTCTCCTTTCGGCACTTTTCGTTTGACCGCTTAACTCGCTTCAGAAACTTCAGTAAAATATTTGCGTCAGGAGGATAGTCCTGTTGGTCGGACTGACAACGCAATATTCCCCCATCCACTGTCCATTCAATTCAAAGGTTGCTCATCCCTAGGGATCATGGGAATTTTTCTCATTCAGAAAGAGTCGCCACAATACTTGTGTCTATCATGGGTCAGATTGGGTTAATAAAAAAATCTTCTCATTACTAAGGAGATCAATTCCTGTCACATTTATTTGCAAACAATACTTTTGAGCATACTCTTATTTCAGTCACACAGACACAATCACACAAGGATATACATGTAACACAATTTCAGTAAAAATATATAAAAATAATACTAATATCACATTTAAAAAAAACACTTGAAATTGAGGTATTTGCACACGAAGATTGCCCTTCAAGAGGTCCATCACAGTTGATCAAATTACATAAAATTGAATGCCTTGAAAACATTTACTTTTTCATTCTCTCAATGAAGGCGTTTTGTAGCTTGAACTTTTGGATTTTGCCTGAAGGGTTCTTCGGAAAGTCTGGCATCACATCTAGATATTTCGGAACTTTGTAGTGGGCAACCTGAAACAAACAATGGTTCAATGATGAGATTGTTGAGCTGTTAACCTTTGTTGCACAATCTATCAAATCAAACATCTTTTCTAAGAAGAAACAAACAAGTTTTACCTTTCCTTTCAAGAATGCCTTCATCTCTTGAAGAGTAATGGTAACTGCTGGATCTTTTAGTCGAATGGCTGCGGCAATTTCCTCACCCATTCTTTCATCAGGGACACCGTACACCTGAAACAAATTCATTTCCTGTTACAGCTTGGGACTTCCACCCGGCCAGAGCGCAGGGAGTATTCCCGGCGGATGCGCGGCGGGAGCACGGGGTAAGGCCACGCCTGACCACGCCGCTTCGCGCAGATACTCCGCACTTGACGCCCGCAATAAGAATGAAAATGAGACAAGTCGGGATCTTTTATTTTTAGTTGCTGCCTCACGCAAACTGGGCAGGGAAGACGTCATCAGCAACCTTCAGTTCGACCAGAGGGGACCCCCCCCCCCCCCACACACACACACACAAATCAAATTTTGCAACAGTTCGGGCCGAGCAGTCGGGAGGACCACGGTCTGGAGGTGACTGACGTGACTTGGAGTCCTGCAGCACACTTTAGGACCCTAGTAACTCACCGTGGCCTCCAGGACGGCGGGGTGCATGGACAGAGCAGACTCCACCTCCTTAGGGGCGATGTTCTCGCCGCCGCGGATGATCAGCTCCTTGATGCGGCCGACGATGCGCGCGTAGCCGTCCTCCTCCAGGACGAACTGATCCCTGCGGGCAACCGAGAGTCGCAAAAACATTAGAAAAATTACTGTAAACAATGAGTCAGACGTTGGCACGAGCAACTGACTCCACTCACCCCGTCCTCAGCCAGCCCTGCTCGTCGATGAGCTCGCGAGTCTTCTCCAGGTCGTCCCAGTAGCCCTTGCAGGTGGCGTAGCCACGGATGCACAGTTCGCCGCGCTCGCCGAACGGCACTGTCTTGCCGTTGGGGTCGATGACTTTGGCCTGCAAAAAGCACAACAATAGCAATGTAAAAATTTTATTGGCAAAAAAAAGGCGGGAAAAATATGTAAATATGGGTGGCAAGTGGGAGTCGGAAACGGGTCTCTGACGTCAAAGGGGCGGGTCAGTGACCGATAAGTGGGCTACCGCCCGCTAGACTGCCTAGACTCACCTCAAGGTGGGGCAGCAACTGGCCCACGTAGGACAGGACCCGGTTCGGATCGTCCACCTCGTAGGGAATGGTGAAAGTGGCCGGGCTCGTCTCCGTCATGCCGTATCCTTGCTGCAAACAACAACAACATTCAGGATACGATGATACGAAGGATAAGTAAACGCGTCCTCTAACTTCTCATCCCTGCAGGTTGACCCTGTGTAGAGTCCTGCGACTGTGGTGCTGTCGCGATGTGAGCGAAGCGCCCGGAATTCCCTCATCCGCCGGTACAGTCCGCGCGGGGCCGGGCAAGGCAAGGCAACAAGGCAGCAAGGCGCGGAGGACGCGAACGCACTGTACTCGCCTCCATGCCGCTCCGCGCTCCGCTCCATCCGCTGCACTGCGCACGTGCACGGCGCACCTCCCCACTCCTCCTTCCGGTGCCGCTCCGCTCCCCCCTCCCACTCGCCGCGCGCAAACACAATCCTCTTGCGCGCTCCCCCTCCCAGGCGGCACCGCTGGTGTAGTGGTATCATGGAAGATTCCCATTCTTTCGACCCGGGTTCGATTCCCGGGCGGTGCACTTCTTTTAAGCTCACCCGCAGCGCGGCCTGCGGCAGGACTTTCTTGATCTTGTTGAGGAGGTCCACGGTGGCGATGGCCGCCCCGGAGAACAGCATGTCGATGGACTCGAAGCCCTGGTTGCCGTGACGCTCCAGCTCCTGCAGCAGGTCGACGAACATGGTGGGGGCGCCGAACATGACGGTCGGCCTGAAATAAAACACGCGAGTAAAACATGAACATAATAATACCAGAAAAGTGAGAATTTGCTTGTAGGAATTCTGATTCTCACTTTTGGGCCTTGATGGCCTCGTAGACGGGCCCCGGCTCATAGTGCGGCGCCGCGATGACGAGCGTGTCGCCGGCCTCGACGCACGCCAGGATGCCGATGACGCTGGCGAACACGTGGAAGAAGGGCACCAGCGAGCACACCAGGTCGTGGTTCTGGGACAGCCCACACCGTTCATTACTGGCAGGGTAATCACATTAGACCGTCCACCGCGTGGACTCGCTCCGCCTCCACGCACGAAGGCGCTGCCGCCCTGGCGCCGTCCTACCTTGGGACTGCCGGTGGTGTACCGCCGCAGGTTGTGGAAGTGGGCGTTGTTCACCACGTTGTGGTGCGTCAGCATGGCTGCCTTCGGGGAGCCCGTCGTGCCCTGAGATGTGTGTTACGCTAATTAAAACGTGTTCACTTTGCACTATCGTGAAGTATTGATAATAGAAAAGGAGTGCTGCCCACCGACGTGAACTGGATCTCCACGATGTCGAAGGGGTCCACGTCGCCCTGCCGCTCGCGCACCTCCCTGACGCCCTTGTCCGTGCCGGCGGCGATGGCCTCGGACAGCCTCAGCGAGCCCCTGCAACAGGAGAGCAGCCACGTCAGAGAACGATAATACTTTCGGCAGAACAGTAACAGACGCTTCTCGTGGAACTGACGGCAGCAGCTCGTTGGTGATGGTGACGAGGGCCTTGAAGTCGGGCAGGCTGTCGCTGCGGATGTTGCCTGGCGTGCTGGTGGCGATCTCTGGCGCCACCTCCAGCATCAGCTTGTGGTAGTTCTGCGTCTTGAACGTGTGGTTGCAGATGAGTCCCTTGGCGCGCACCTTGCGCAGGCAGTGGCCCAGCTCGCTGGCCTGGTACGCGGGGTTCAGCGTCACCTGGGTTTCCAAATGGCGAGATAAGTGAGGGTCCTGGCGGTAGTCGAACCCGCGCCCTGCAAGGTACTCACGAGAACCAGGCCCGCCCTGGCCACGGCGAGCTTGACGAGCACCCACTCCAGCGAGTTGGGCCCCCACATGGCCACACGGTCGCCCTTGGACAGCCCCAGGGCCAGCAGTCCCGCCGCGAGCCTGTCCGCCTGGAACACACCAAAACCTTTAGGCATTGACGACCCAACTTGTCGACGGCCAGGACGGCGGGCAGGTCGGGCACCCCACCTTCTTGAGGAGGTCGTTGAAGGTGATCTTCTGGTTCTGGTAGTGCGATGCCACGGCGACGCGCTCGGGGTACTTGGCCGCCGTCCGCTGCAGCACTTGGCCGATGGTCTCGGTCAGCAGCGGGATGGTGCTCTTCATGTGCACGTAGGCCTCCCCGCGCTCGGAGCCGGCGGGGGTGGCGGGGGCGGTGGAGGCGGTGGAGGCGGCGCGGACGGCGTGGTGCCCCAGTCGACCGGCAGGGCGCGGCCAGCGGCCCCACCGCGGCCACCTCGCCAGGCACTCACGGCGGCACAGCATTTCCGAACCAAACTGCAACAAAAACAACCAAAAATACTAATAAAATTGGCGGACAAACGCAAAACAAACCCAAGTCGCTTCACTTTGAACTCTTCCCGCAATGTCTGGAGATAAGCAAAGCGATAAGAACCCGACGCTGCGAAGCGAATGCCCGCCTGGCTGATTAGAAGGGCCGATCAAATCGGGCGCAGACATAACTAATTTCAAACAGGATTATATTTTTTAATTGCCAGCTCGATGACGGGCCAAGGGAAGCAAATGGACTCAGAGGGTGTCTAGACCTTCGGACCTTCAGTGTCTCGACACTGCAGCCCAGTCGCGTCCGGATTTTGTGAGGTCATTGTCCTATCACAAGACGGTTGGCTTTGTCAGGCAAAACGTCCTTACTTGACAAACTTTATGTAATTTTGTGTCCCCGTGTCCCCTCAAACGGAGACTGTTACAAACGATAAGGAAACGCAAAGGATAAGCGACTTAGGACATCGATTTTCGTAAGTAAGACATCCTCTGTATAACGTGGCCAACGCTCACCAAAAGGTCGATTCCCCGCCTGACAGGCCACGAGCGCGTCACTCCAAGAGGCCCGGCGCGCACGAATAGGGCTCTAGGGCTCTAGTTGTCACTTTCTCACTCGTGACACCTCGTGTGCCTGCCAAGCGAATCCGACGGGACTGACTAGTCCGCCAGGAGTTCACTAGCTTATCACTCCTCGTCGAACGGCGGGGCACGGCGGGGTGGGAGTCAAGACGCGAACACGCGCTGAGACTTAAAGTTCGCCTAAGGCTGCCCGAGGCGCACCGAGGGTCGCACCTTGCACTGTGTGGCCAGTTGCCGGTGAGGCGAGGTGGAGGCGAGTCGCGCTGTCACGTTGCCGCAGCATCGGTGTGTGGGGCCATGCCACGAGATAAGATAGGAATAGGATACTACTTCCTTCAGTCACCTCACTGTTTATGCTACTTTGAACGCGGATAAGCCGGCAAATAGAAAAATAGATAAGGTTCCGCCAGTAATAAGCGTAACGACAAACGGCGCGGTACGATGTACAGCTCGCAAGAAATTGGCCCCCGAAGAAATGCTAAAAAAGGCAAAGGGCAAAGACAAAGTCTGCTTGACGCTTGACCCAGCCGGTGGTGCCCGGCCGCGCCACCGGTACAGTAGGAGTGGGACAGGGGGACGTCTGCGACACAGTCCGCGACGCCCAGTCATCATGCAGCGACTTGGAAAAACGCGCCGAATACATAAACAAGAAAGATAGAAGAAAAGCGACCTCGTCTTCCCCACGCCGCCCATCATTCGGGCTCTTATGAAAACATCATGACGGCATTATGCATGCAGTGAGCCGGTGCACCTTTGGCTCTGGGCATTCCCTCCCCGAAAACACGGTGGCGGCAAACGCGATCAGAACACTCGAACCACTGTCGATTGATCGATCGAGATCGTTAAGTGTAAACAAAAACATGGAGCCAGGTTTGAAATTCTCATACATGTTTATGTTTGTTGTTTGAGCCTATCGGCACTCCACGTAAGCTTAGCTGCCTGGTTTTTGAAACTTCGAGCGTCGGCGGAACGTGAACTAGTCAAGAAAAGCCACTTTCGCGAAAGTGGCGAAGATGTTGTCAACAACCCAGATGTCAACAGGGTAGAAGCTAAAGGTAAAATTTCCACTACCTGTTGCGGTGCGTGACAGAGCCCCCTCCCCTCCCCGGCTGGCCGTCAAGGCCACAACACTGCTGCATGCACTGGCGATATGTCATGTCAACATTAATTTTGGGTCGGGCCGCGAGGACGGTGGACCGCGACGCACGCCCCTAGCATGCCAACAACTGCTGATTTGTGCAGCAGCGGGCCACGGTCCGTCACGACACGGCCAAGCCTGGGGGCAGTACTCACCCAAGGCGTCCTAACCTACACGCCGACGTGCGGACGGCTGTCCTCAAGGCTGGCTGGCGGAGCCGAAGGCAAGTAAACACTGCGCCGAAGTCGAGCGGTGGCGGACCGGGACGCTGACGGAGTGGATTCTGGAGTCGGGCCCAACGCGGTGCAGATGCCCGCCGCTAGAGCGCGCCAGCAGGCTGGTCCCGGGGGCTCCCCTCGGCACCCTCGGCTTGGCCGGCTTGGCGGCGAGACGCCGTGCGTGGCCTCTCAGCGTGCACTGCTTGGCCGTAATCCGGTACTACTGCTTGCACTGACGACGGGGTGGGCACGGTGCAGTGGCGCGCAAAAGTACTCATCGGCACGTTCCGATTCACCGACTGTGACTGCACTGCTGCGCGTGGCGTGGGCGTCGCGTCGCGTCGCAGGGCAGGGCCCCCCCTTAGGCCCCCGGGGTCCTGCGAGCGGAGCGACTCCGCGTCTCTCTCGCACCCCCTGCGGAACGCTCCGTGAGTGAGCGAGAGCGAAGAAACGACTCTTCGGGACCAGCCTGCTGACAGACACACGAGCTGCTTCGCCAGAACGTCGAGAGCCTCGCCCCCACCTCCTGAGCCCCCTCCTTCTCCCCCTTCCCGAAGAGAGCGCCGGCCGAGTAGGCAAGCCCGGCGTGCTCCGAGTGTGAAGGGGATGCCTATCTGCCAGGTGCTTGGACGTCTTGACTCCTGTGCAAGCGGCGAGCCTTTCTTATAGGATATGTTTGTGTTTTGTTCTGGCCTTATGACTCGCCCAATGAGTTCCCCTCATCTCAAAATATACATATAGTAAGTATATAGTTCAAGTTGATCTTTCTAGATAAGTCATAGGTATATCCTCATTGAGGTTCTTGCACATATTGGTGTTCAGAGGTGTCATGTATCAGAATAAAATAAGGAAATCAAACAGACATTTCACAATGATTTATTTAGTTTTTACATATTTTCATTTTCTCCAGTCACTCACTCACTCATTCATTCCAATTTTCATTCACACAAAGATTCATGCAATAATAGTTTTCAACTAGAAAATGTGCATAAGTTCTCTCTCAGTAAAAAATAAAGTAATTTATTTTTGAGACAACTTTGGTTCCTCACTTGTGTGTTTGGAACCAGTTGGTATCACAGGACAGTCTTTGTCGTAGTTAGATTAAGGAATTAAATCATTTTGCTACACCGAGACAACACTTTGGCACTAAAAAAAGATTCATGATGGCAAATCAAAAGAGTGCATTAAAAGGTAAAATAGCACATTAAATCAAAAATTTTGATGTAACTACGATGTAAGCTGCAATATTTCATTGGTTCAGTGTCAATACAATCATTCAATTCCTTTCAACTCAAATCACCTGAATACCATGAAAAGAAGTGCACAGATAATATCAGTACATGCATCAAGGACAACAAACAAACTGAAAATAAACTGACTGAAAGTAACATTTCATGCAAGATACAAAATGCAATGGTGAATGATATTTTACAACACCGGGACTTGGCATCCTAATCGGGAGAAATATTTGCTAATGGAACAGAGGATTAAGTAATAAAAATTGACCCCTGACACAGAAACTTACAAAACACTGCCAAAAATGGTACAAAAAAATAATTGTACAGAATTTGAAACAAAATTATAACAACACAGTCCACAGTGACAATATGATTCATACATGATTCATAAAATAAGGTGAAATTCAATAATAAAAAGTATAACAAAGTAGCATGATAAAAAGGTGAGTAGCTACATTCTCCCTGTTTTAGACTAGAGCCAAAAGTATTAACTTCTGGTGTGGAAGACATAGCTCACCAGAGGTACTAATTATCATTGGCATTTACAGTAAAGCAAATTAAAATGGGTCTTCACTAACATTGAGAGCTGATCATTGTGTACATGTTTTGTACAGGAATACATTATTTCATAGTACAAATGATCTCATAGCATGAAAAATAACAACATTTAAAAGTTTAACCTACACACAGAAATAGCAAACCAAGACTAGCACCTACAGAGAAGTTGAGTTCATGTTTGTATTTTCTTTTGAGTTTTCATTTCAACCTGGACAAAATGGAGACGACCTTCTTCTGCTTCCGGATGAACTTGGCCTCACTCAAAGCGACACCTCAGCCACATATGCCTGTTCATAGGCAGGGTAAAACTCCTCATCGTCCCTGCAGAACATCCATTGCGATTATAGATCCTCAAGATATGCAGAGAACAACCCTTATAACACTTTGAAAACCAACACTACACATTTCAATTCATAGACAAAAGAAAACTACACAAAAAAAAACACAAAAAAACAATTGATTAAGTAATGAAACAAAAATATCAATCTCATTTAGAGCATTTGATAGGAGTCAGTATTCACTGACATAAGAGGTCAAAAAAGACCGGTTTCCAAAAGGAACTACATTAAAGCGATTGGCACGTATAATAAGTCTTTGAGTCGTTGCATGGGATTGGAATTCCCAAATATCACACTTGCCTCTGTCAAAACAAATAAAAGGTTGGCCTCTGTTGAATCACATTCAGTGATACACAATTTAAAATTGCCATTCTTCAGGATTGTCACCATTTTTGGCTGCAAGAGCATTGCTCACAGAACTGTGTTCTGGGCATCTTCATGAGGCACAAAACCCTTTGATAAAGGCAGAGGTGTCTTAGTAAATAAAAAAATTAAAATAAAAGGAACTCCTTAGGTGGCAGCCAACTCAGATCTTTGAAGAGGGCTTCACCCACAGGCATATGTGCCTACTGGTGAAAATTCTTGATGGGTACGGCTTTAAATTTCTTCAGTGTACACAACAGGCAAAACTGCTTACTAGTGTACACATTTTTCAGCCCACTTCCCTCTTGGTCATTTAAGTCACTAACAAACCGTTAAGGTGCTAGTGTGAAAATTTGAAGTGGTCCACAACAGACCCACTTTGGTCCACTCAAACTCGAAACACTGATGCATAGGCTTGATCATTGAGCAGCTCACTTGACTTAAGGGCCAGAGTTGGTGTCTGAGATTCAAATTCAGCTCAAAAGCATGCCCAAATGTTTATCACAGCTAGTCATGCTTTCAAATCCAACAGGATTAACCACCGACTGATGTCAGTTTCTTTGGTGTCAACTCCATCAAAACATTGATGCTTCCAAGAAAAATGGGTACTTTGGGGAATTGGTCATTACGCGGACAGGAGTTAGAGAATTAGCAGAAGCAGTCGAAGGAGACAAAACGAGAAGGGGATGAGTGCTACAGGCCAAACAGGCCTACCAGCACTCTCTTGACAAGCAGCTACATTCTTCACACAAGGTCTACAGACATCGTGCAGGGTCTTTCCTGGCGCTTGCCATACCTGTCAGCTGATGGGGAGGGTGAAGGGGAACGACGGACATCAGGAATTGACATTTCCATTTTGATGCCAGAGTTGTTGCGACTCCTCCTGTCTGGGTTGTGCTCCCTTGGCTTACGGCGACTCAGATGTCGCTCAACCCACTTAAGCATTGTGAGAACAGAGTCTGTGCTCGGGAGGCGTCTCTCTGCTGCAGTGCGGACAATCTGAGAGGATGTCACGCGGAATGTGGCAGCCATACCCTTGAGAGCCTAGAAAAATTAAAAAAGTACAAAACATTAGAGTTTTTCAAAATCAAATGATGTTAACTCAAAATCTTGCGCAGATGAATAATAAATACCTCCATGGCATCTTCATCAGTCACGTCATCTCCAGCATAGATGATTCTCACTCGTTCCTCCCAGTCAACACCAAAAGCAGTGCGCAGGATGTAAAGAGACGCGCGGCCTTTGTTCCACTGCACTGGTGGCTTAGCTTCAATGGCACAGTGGGCCCGGCCAGCTCGGAACCCGGCGTCTTCAATGAGCTGCTTGGCCTTGGAAACCATCTCAGGACGCACCTCAATGGGGGTTTCTCGGTAGTGGAAAGTCAAGAGAGCTCCCTTGTTTTCAACCCATGCGCCATCTCTGCACACCTACATAACAGGACGGAAAAAATGGAAGAGTAGGGACAAAACAGAAAATCAAATCATAAGATTCAACTACTGAGATTTTTTAAAATGGCTAAAGCAAGCTCATACCTGTTCTTGTAATTGCTTCAAGAGATTGCTTACTTTGCCCTCAAATTCAATAGGCATAGGGTGCACAAACCTACTACCATCAGGGTGCAAAATTTCTAGTCCATGGTTTCCGGCATATGTTATTCCATTTATGCCAACCTGTCAAGTTCACACGTTGTAAAAAAACATTAAGCAAAAAAATTTAACTATTTAAAAAAATGAGAAAAAGTCACCATTTCTTTGACATTGTTGACATTACGACCAGAGATGATGGCTATGTAAACATCTGACATGTTTGATAATCTTTCCAGCACATTTCGTGTTTCTGGTGGCAGGATAGCCAGGTCAGGGTGTGGAGCAATGGGTGCCAATGTACCATCATAATCCAGCAGAAGAGCCAATTTGTGTTTGGAACCAACATACCTATAAATGAAATCGAGCAGCTCATAAGAAAAGCAGAACACTAACAGTGGTTCTACACTGAGAGCTGAAGTTGATTCACAGAACAATGGCATTGGTGCTGTCACCTACTTTGCTAAGTATTCTTCAAAGTCATCCATTGTGACAGGCTGCATTGTGGTAGGTAAAGTTTCCTCTCCATCCTCATAAATGAGAGAACCCATGGCCTTCAAGAAAGACTTCATCCAGCAATTTACATCATTGATTTTCTCCCGCCTTCGCAGGTAGTTCATGCGAAGTTGCCTTTCATCTTCAGGCATTGTTAGTGCTCTGTGGATGACTTCGGCAGCAGCTCCAATTTCATAAGGATTGCAAATTAAAGCCTCATGCATCATTTCACCAGCTCCAGCAAATGGGGAGACAATCAAAACACCTGGAGGTTCATTGATTTGGCAAGCCACAAATTCTTTGGCCACCAAATTCATTCCTAAAGAGAGACAAACAGAAGAACATTTCCAGCAAATTCTTTTCATTGATTAAGCAAAAGAAACAGTTTCTAGCCTCTTACCATCTCTCAGGGGTGTAACAAGTGCAACAGATGCATCTCTGTAGAAAGCTGCCAATTCATCTTGACTCACACAGCCATAGATGTATTTGATAGGAGACCAGTTGGGAGTCGTGAAACGTCCATTGATGCGTCCTACCAACTGATCCATTTCTTCCTTCAGCTCCTGATATTCTTTGACATCTGTCCGCGATGGAACTGATATTTGGAGAAGTGTCACCTAAACAAAACAGCCTGTGTTCATGAGAAATTCTGACAAAACACAGAGGATAGTTGGATGAAGCAGAAGAAACTATCAAATCAGAATGGCTTGTTCCTACCTTCTCACGGTGCTCAGGATGTTTTTCAAGCAACATTTCGAATGCCTTCAGACGGTGAACTAATCCCTTAGTGTAGTCGAGACGATCGACACCAAGAACAATCTTGGTGGAGCCTGTGATAACTCTTGGTGCGCTTTGTGCCAACTGCACAAATCGGTCAAATGGAATACCAATAGGTAGAGGTCGAACCCTAACAGTACGGCCACCATGTTCAACCTGTTGAAAAAAATAACAAAAAATTAGCTTTGAAAAACTAGTGTGAAAACTAATCTACTTGGAAATAAAGTTTACCAGCATATTTTTACGGTCAACTCGGCAACCTAAGCGTCTTTGGCAGCAATCAACGAAGTTAAGGCAATAATCTTCAATATGGAAGCCAACCATATCACAACCTACATGTCAAATAATAAAAGAAGCTGAATTATAGACTACAAAAATACGACATTACTGGTACACATGACAAGCAACTCACCAAGCATTCCTTGAAGTACTTCATCAGACCAAGGGAACAACCGGAAAATATCCCATGGAGGGAAAGGAATGTGCAGGAAGAAACCAAGTTTGCATCGGAGGTTTAACTCCTCAGCACTCTGAAAAAAAAAAATTAATAAATTTCTGGAAATAAAACAACAATAATTAAGATCCTAAAAGAGGGGGGACTAACTTGTCTGATCCAGTTTGATGCAAGCATTAAATGATAATCATGGACCCAGACTAGTGGGGGACCAGCCTCTGGACCTTGGTCTTTTGAAACTTTCTCCAGAGCAGCAACTGTCTTCTGTGCAAACTCCTTGTTCACAGTATAGTAATTCTAAAACAGAATAAAAGCCAATAAGATAAAATATTTTTTCAATATTTAACTTTTTTATGCAGCACCTTTTTTAAAAACTCACCCGCCAATGCTCAGCACTGAAGGATGCTCTGTCAGGCATTGAGTGGAACAGAGGCCAAAATGTGTTGTTACAACAGCCATTGTAGTAGCTGTCAAACACTGCAGGGTCGACGTGAACAGCAACAACCTACAGAACAACAATATAACTTGTCAGAAGAGTCAAGAAAAAAAGAAAAGCCAGACGTTACCCAGAACAAGAAGAATATAAACTCACCTTATCAGAGAGTAGTCCAGCTGTTGGTGTGCGATCAGCTGGATCAGATTCAGGAATAGGCTCATTGGGGTCGTCAAGGTGAATACCTGGCCAACCCACCCAAAAGCCTTTGCCTCGAACAACAACCGGTGCAACTGCAGTCACCAATCCACCAGGGCTGAAAAAAGTAAAAGCAAAGTTGAATATGCAGAACAGTTAAAGTAAAAAATAAATCCCTGGCCATTAAGAAGATGTAGGAATGTGAACAAATAAAATCTTTTTCCAACAACATTTAATTTTCTTAGAAAGAACATAAAAAGTACACAGCACTAAACACAGACCCACAGATATGGACCTAATTCATATTTGCAGTGGTCATTGACAAAGAAAACATCACCTGCAGAAGTGAATGCACTTCACTAGATGTGAACCATCAAACTTAAAAACTTTTTACTGTCACTTGATTGTTTCCTGACCTTGACTGTACTAATTTGGTCATTGGACCCCATTTCAGCAACCTAAGACGTCCACTGAAGCAGAATAGGTCTGATCAGGTGGCCTCTGCATGATGTTGCGTAAGAGTTCTTCAAAAGCAATTACCCTCAAAGCTAAGATAAATATGATGTAGATGGATTGAAGGGGCCGTATTATTACAATAAGACATTGAATGATACTGGACTATGGGACAAGAGGGACACTTGAAAAATTAAAAACACTTTTCCACAGACATAACAAGTTCATTAAACAGAAGGCCATTGTGATAAGACTTTTGTAGGCCATAATGCACTCTGCATATCTAGTCTCTCTTTTACTAAATCTAGGTTCACTTTGACGTTGGCATCTGCTCAGCTTGTGAATAACTATCAAACTGGCCTTGACACTTAATCAGATAGGATTTGACCCCACACTATCAGCGTTTGTAGTTAATGGAGCATAAATTGGCCTTGCCTTCATCTAGTTTTGAAATACAACAGTGCTGTGCTTTTTTTTTCCTGCTGCCCTTCTAAACAATACCCAGCATGTGAAGCAGCAAAAACTCCCAAACTTTCAATAGAGAAAAATTATTTTTGTTGTAGAGATGAAAAATGATTTGATGCTCCAATGTTGAATTTCCAAGGAAGGAAATGACTAACGTGTAACTCATCCTGGGCCTTTTGGGCAGCCTGCCAAGTCCATCTGCTATTGCACTGAGATTGCACTGACCACATTCACATCGGCAATAGCAGTCCATTAATAATACCCAATTTTCTTTTGATTAAACAGTAAAAATGATTATTATGATCTAGAATTAAATATAAGGGGAAAAATTGTCCCCGAAACACCTGAGGATTTTTAACACAGCTTCATTAAGAATACAATGGGAGGCGCCTTGTTTGTAAACATACCAAAGGCCAAAGATTACTCGATGACTCACCAAGCAAGCAAGGACTATTGAAATAGAGGTACTGTATTAGCAGCAAGTTAAAGGATATTGACCACACAGTATTTTCCCAGCGAGATCTTAAATGCAGAATGCGAAATGCAAAGAGTTTTTGGGTAGTATCAAAATTGTTCTGAATAAAAAGCAAACGGAAAAAGATGTGCAGTAGTGAAATTTAAATTAATCAAAGGGTGTCATGGTGTGATATTGTGCTTACTGCACAGCAGGGTCCACAGCAGACTCAACAAGTGACCACTTGTGGCTTACCCTCCATTTCCGATACCAAGGGAAATCCAAGTCGAGACGGCTGGACATGTCACAGGGAGTGTTCCTGAAGCATGTCAGCACCCACACCCCCTCCTCCCCTGCAGCCAAGGGGGCTGTGCACACTGCACAGTGCTGTGCAGGGCTGTGCAGGGCACGGCGCTGCTTTTAGAGTTCAAGGTTACTCGCGAGGCAGCGGCTGCGCGCTACTGCGTCGCGACTCGCGGCGCTAGACTATGCCATAGTCCACTCACCTGGCTTTCCGCTCCAACTGCTTGGTCTTGTCGTTCCTCTTGAGCACGAACGGCAGCCTGTTGGACACGACGATGAGGCTGCCATTGGCCTCCGCGTTGTCCGAATCCATCTCGAAGCTGCTCCCTGAACACACACACCACGCGATGAGTACCGTGAGGCGAGACACCGGCTGAGACTGAGACACGGTGCGGTTGCGGCGCGCGGTCCTGCTGCCTGATCACTGACTCGAACTCGACTGGGGACTGGCAGACTGGCACTGACTGCGTGACTGGGGGGGCCACTCAAAGTTGACTAGTCGCCGGCCTGCTGTCGCTGTCGGGCTGTCCCGTCGCGGCGCTGAATGGAGCGGAACGAGAATCGAGCATCAAGCCGGGGGGCTGTATGAGAAAACGGATTCCTGATAAGTTGGGCAAAGTGCAGCGACACTCGGGCCGCGGAGAAAAATAAAGTACAAACGCCCAAACGGCGGGCGGGGCGGGGTGGGGGCGGTACGACGGAGCGGAGCCGAGCAGCGCGGCCGAAAAGGTCAGAGGATTATCACTCAACACAATTCCACTTTTGACGCAATGCCGATGTCACAGTGTCGCACTTCCCGGCCAAAGAAAACACGAGCGTTCAATCTAAATGGACGCAGGCGAGGCAGGCTCAGTGGGGAGAGGGCGGCCAGGCCTCCGGTACACTGGTAGCGCTCAGACGGTCGCGGACACGGCCGTGCGGGACGTAGCGGGACGTGACAGCACAAGTTACCGATTCCTCAGCGCGGCCTGACACTCGTGGCACGGTCGGGTACCGCCAACAACGAAGCCCGCGGCGCCAACTGCCTTTCACACTGCGGGGCGCGGAGCGAGTGCTATGGTGTCTGCTCGGTCGGGCGTCGGCTGCCTGCTGGCTTCTGCTAGAGCATGCACTTGTTCCGTGATCCGGCGCTGCCAACCGCGGCGCGCTGAGGTCGGCGGCACGGCGCCACATTCGGACGATACCGCCTGGCGCTGCCCTGGCGCTGCCAACCGCGGCGCGCTGAGGTCGGCGGCACGGCGCCACATTCGGACGATACCGCCTGGCGCTGCCCTGGCGCTGCCAACCGCGGCGCGCTGAGGCCGGCGGCACGGCGCCACATTCGGACGATGCCGCCTGGCGCTGCCGTCTTCGGGCGTCCGCGGCAAACAGCACAGGGCGGCCCCGCGTCGCGGGTAGGAGGCAGGGCGTCCAGGGTGGCTTCCTTCTCGTCTTCGTCGCTGACTCGGCGGGACGCGACCGGTATCGATCCGAGTTTGGCGGCGCTGGGAGTCTCGCGGCGCGGTGCTGCGCACAGTGGGCCGGAAGACCGATGGCGGCGGCCAAAACTCTGTACGCGTTTTGAGCTCCAGAGTCGCTAAATGGGACTCGAACCGAGCGTGTGACCCCACCAATGGATTCCTCGTTCGGAGAGCTATCCATTGGTGGGGTCACACGTTCGGTTCGAGTCCTGTTTAGCGACTCTGGAGCTCAAAACGCGTCTAGAGTTTTGGCCGCCTCCACCGGTCTTCTGGCCCACTGTGCTGCGCGGCGGGCCGAGAGAGGCGTCTTGTTTTTCCGCCCGGGAGGGGCCGCCCCTAACGCAGGTGTGGCCGGCACGCTCTCGTCGCTCTGTCTCTCTCGCACACATACGGGGACGCCGCATGAGTGATTCTTAGAGTCGTTTTCGTCGCTCTGTCTCTCTCAAGACGCCCCACGAGTGCGAGAGAGACGGTGGGACGAAAACGACTTTCGGAATCAGTCTGGGGAAGGACAAAAGTAAGCGCGCCCGCTATGCAGTGCACGGCGCAGTGTCCCGCAAACAACAACAAGAACAACAACAGCACGTGAAGTGGTGGAAGACACCCAGTGTCGCTGTTGTCGCTGCAAATTCGGCCACAAACAGCCGCACATCAAGCCGATAGCATTGCGCGTCTCTTTTATTGGTGTTTGCATTTTATCTTTGACAATGGACCGTCCACTTTGCGATGATCGTCCAATCGCCGTGGTTCTGAATGGGCCGAATGCAGGAGGATGGACGATACACGGGTCACTTTATCACGCGGGTGTCGACAACCCTCACCCCTTGAGAGGAAACTAAAGTTCTCCGAATTGGAACATTCGAACGCCAGACAGTTCAATTTGCATTGGTTAGCGCGGTGGCGCTGGCATGGCCCAGCCTACAGTGTGGCGTCTAGCTAGCCAGCAATCCGAGACGCGTACGGTGTAGGGCTCGCGCTTGCTCATTCAAGACTTGGGTTCGCAGCAAAGCAAGGAGGATGAAGCAGCGAGCCCGAATTAGACTTGAACGTCATCCCATCCCCGAGTCGGTTCGCGAAAGCGGTTCGCCGCACACGTGTCCGTGACGCGTCCGTGACGCGTGCCCTCGTCTCCTGTCACGCGCCTCGTCACGTCCTTGTCAGTCACGTCGTCGTCACGTCCGCGTCACCACGTCACGGGCCTTATTGGCTCCGGTTCTAATTGGTCGGCGACGTGCGTGCGGCACTGCACTTGCTACTTCTGACGCGCGAGTGTGAGGAGACTCGCGAAAAGACGGACAGGCGGACGGACGGACGGACAGACAGACAGACAGACAGACAGACAGACAGACGGACGGACGGACGGACGGACGGACGGACGGACGCGGAACGCAGGGGAAGCGCAGCGGTCAGCGAATGCCGCCGGTTCTTGTGCATTCCTTACGCGGAAAACGCGAGCGCGCTCGGCGTCGCCACTGCAAAAACAAAAACACGAAACACGCGTCCACGGCTTGACTGCTGCGGACTGCGGACTGCGGCTGCACTGCGAAGTGAAGTGGCGTTTACAGCCCTGCCCGACTGCGTCCGACTGCGCCGCCGTCGCTCTGTCTGTCTCGCACTCGCGGGCGGGACGCGGGGCCCACCGGGCCGCGAGAGAGACAGAGCGACGCGGCGGCCGCCGGCGCCACGTGTGCCCACGGCGCGGGCACTCTGCGAAAACAGGCTGCACTTTATGTCACGCATTGTTTGTTTAGGTGACACAGCTGGGAGGGAAGTGCCAGTGCCTGTCTGTCTGCCTGTCTGTCTGCCTGTCTGTCTGCCTGCCGGCCGGCCGAAGGACGCTCAGGATCACGCTGCGGGCGGCACGGCCACGGCGCGGCCACGGCGCGGCCACGGGCCACTCCACTCCACACCTGGACGTCGTCCAGAAACCGCGAGAAAATACTACGACGGGCCAGTAAGGCCAGTAAACCAGGAGCCCCCGCGAAACGCTTCCTCCACGTGTTCTCGACGACAACAGTCGACAAGGAGAAGGGAAAGGGGGGGGCGTCGCAACGGCGCGACTGCGGGGGAAGCGAGACCGTGGCGTGAAGAGAGAGAGAGAGAGAGAGAGAGAGAGAGAGAGAGAGAGAGAGAGAGAGAGAGAGAGAGAGAGAGAGAAATAGAGGAGGATAGTCGAGCGTAGATAGACGACTCATGGACAAAAAGGAGGGGGCGCACTTCTGTGATAACACAAGCGCGGGGTGGAGGTCGGGGGAAGGCGGGTGATTTGTTCCGCGAAGATTGGGCGAGGAGGGAAGGGGGGGGGGAGGCGTGAGGCACAGCCGTCCTTGCAAATACAAGGTACCTCTCTTCTGCGCGACGGGGCCCCGCTCGCCCACCCACACCGGCACCCACTCGTCAGCAACACTGTAGCTGTAGCACCATTTCTCCGTCTTGATGCCGATCCGACCCAATGCGCTGGGTGGCCTCTATAGCATCTCCTTCAATTCCTTCAATTTCTAACAGACATCAAAGGAAATTTGAAACAAGACACAAAATGCTACCAGTTGGGATTATTTGTGGTCCAAGCTTGTAGAGGCGAGTGCCCTCCTTGTTTCCTTGTAGCTCGTAGCCACGACCCGTTGCCGCGACCACGACCCTTCCTTCCGACCTCCGCGTCCCTGCCCAGTCCCTGCACTGTCCCTGCAGACGCTTCGCCAGGCAGCGCATCAAGTCTCTAGTTGACAGGCGTTCCTCTTGCCGCCGCCGCTCCGCGCCCGCTATTGGCACGGCGGGCCCGCCGCGGAGCCGCGGACCGCCAAGACTCGAACGGCGGACGCCACGCGGGCCGACGCGCGAACACACGCGCTAGTCACGACCTACAGCACGATGCCGGCGATGCCGGCCGCTCCCCCTCCCCCTCCCCTCCCCCAGACCCCATGGCGGTACACTGCCAATGTCGTCAACGCGACGATCCGCCCGCGCTCCGCCCGCCCCGGTGACGGCGTCCACAAGAAGTTATCAGCCGCGATATTGTTTCCTGCAAGTCGCGAGGGGCCATGCCGGCCGTGCCGGCCGTGCCTGCCATGCCGGCCGGCGCACAACAGGAGGGAAGGCCCAGCACTCTCTCTCGCACTCGTGGGGCACCCCGCGAGGGTGCGAGAGAGAGAGAGAGAGAGAGAGAGCGAGAGAGAGAGACAGCCTGCGGCCACACTGCCATATTGGCAATCGGAGTCGCACGTCACAGCGCTGCACGCGTCCCCCACGTGGCTGGCCGGTCTGTCTCTCTCGCACCCCCGCGGCATGGCGGTCGGACCAGGCGGGACGGGCGGGACGCGCCACGAGAGCGAGAGAGACAGAGCGTCGGAAGCGGCGTTCGGACTCGGCCCACATCCGCGGTGCCGCGGTGCCGCGGTGCGCCTCGCCGGCCGCCATTGGACACGCCCGCCGCCAAATCGGCAAAGCGACCAGCGGGCCGGCGCCAAAGCCGAAAACAAGGCCGAAAATGAGGGATAGCTCGGAAATATCGGTCGAGAATCGACTGATCGTCATAAGCCCCCCACCACCCCCAACCGCAGCCACTGCAGCCTTGGACTTCTCAGTCGATTTAAGCCCGACTGTCCTCCCCCTCCCTTGCTCCCTCCGTGGCCCCCGTCTAATCTTAGTGCGCCCCAGTGGACCTTACCGACCGGCAGCCTCCCCCTCCCCCCCCCTCCCCCTCCCCTCCCCCCCTCCCCTCCCCTCGTTCGACGCCTCGCCTCCCCCACAAACAGCGTCTCGCGCGCATTAACCGATTACTCGTCTCTTTTGCGACCAACTGGGTGCACATTAAATATCGGTCACTCGTGGAGCCAAGCGCGGAGGGCCGGGCGCCGCGGACGGTGCGTGGCGGCGACGGCCTGGCGGGCTGGCGGGTCCGCGCTGCCGGTGACTGTACCACTGTGCGCGCCGCCGCCCTGCCCCCCACTCTCGAGGTGGACTGTACCCATCAAAGCTTATGAGCTATCACTTGTTGAAGGCGTGATGAAGCCAAGGCCCGACCAAACAACATATACGGAAAATAAAAACAATAAAAAGGATTCTACGCTTGCCCTGCCTGCCCTGCCTGCCCCCGGCTGCAGCATTTACGTCAAACGGCCGGGCGAGGGGCGGCGGGGCGGCGGGGCGGGGATTCGATCCCAGGCCCCGGCTCGCCCCACAAAAGGGGGAGAGAAGAGAGAAACCCGATGGGGTTCGATTGGCGGAGTTGGCGCGGTGCAGATGCTAACCCCCGATTGGCGCCGCGGTGCCGCCGTGCCACCAGGTCAAGACGGGCGTGATTCTGAGTGTCCGGCGAGGTCCCCGTCGGACGTCACCGAGTCACGTGCACCGCCGCGCCACGCTGCGTGCGCAGTGCAGTGCACCAGAGTGCACCGGGCTGCATTGCCACAACCCGCAAGTGGGCCGAGGGGTAGGCCCACGTCGACAGGGATGGCGGCCCCACTGCCATACACTGCCAGCGCGTCGATAGGACAGTCGAAAAGATTCGCCACACGCGTGGCTCTGCCTAAGGACTTCCCTCCAGAGAGTTTGGCTGGGTTTGGAGAGCCGCCAGCGGTTTGTCTGGCATTTTAAAAGACGAGTGCCGTTGCTTGATCGTGGCTGGCATTGGGTCCGCGCGGCGCAGAGCCATTCGGGCGACACTACACTAGATAACGCCGTGAGAGCACCACACGCACACACACGCACACACACACACTCACACACGCTAACAATCGCGTTGTTTTATTGTTTATCTTCCGTTTGCTTTTACCCCCACTGGCCCTGGCTGGATAGATAAATTGGTCAGTCTGTCGAGTCCGCAGGCCCACCTGGACCTCGCCAAGAATAGCGTGTTGTCGCGGCAACGGCGACGTGTGGAGGCGAAGTTCCGAAGTTCAGAGAGCGCGCGACAGGTGTTTGTTTGCCCAGTGAGCCGGGCCGGGTTCGGTTCGGCTCGGCTCAGGAGATTGCCTGACAAGAAGCATCATGCAAACGGCGAAAAACATTGGTCGCCATTTTTGTTTTTCACTGTTTGTCACACTTTTTGTAAAAAGTGGCGCGGAAAGTCGCCGGCAAGAAAGCGCGCTGCTGAACGCGCGTCCTTGGAATCTTCAGTCCTTGGCATTGCGAGAGAGAGAGAGAGAGAGAGAGAGAGAGAGAGAGAGAGAGAGAGAGAGAGAGAGAGAGAGAGAGAGAGAGAGAGAGAGAGAGAGAGAGAGAGAGAGGCCGTCTGCTCGGGGTCCTTGATTGGTCGCGGGAAGGCCAAGTGCATGGCGTGGCCGTGGGGGCTGCACGTGAAAACAAAACAACAACAAGCGCCCCAAAACTATGTGTTTGACTATAGTAGTATACGCACCAGACTACCATCTCCCTTTTCTCCTTTTCTGACGTCGTCTGGATGTTGGTTGTTCTTGATTTTGGAAAAGCAAAGAGTGCGATTGTCAGGAATGCTGCGGCGTGGGCGGCTGGCCCAAACACTGGGGTGGGGGAGAGGCGGCTGCAGTTGGGGGGCAAAGAAGACAAAGACCCAAACGACGAACTCCACCACAACGACGCCTTCGCCCGGGGTCAAGCAGCAATCTCTTCGATTCCGGAAACGGGCCGAAAAAACGGCTTGCCCGGCCAAGCTCCGACTTAATGAGGGAACGTCACTCTTTGTGGACGCCCCGGTTTGGCCCCGTACAACCTGGTTCCTGGGTCATGGCCTGGTGCCCTCGCCTCACAGCCCTCAACCCTCAGCGGCGGAGGAGCCGGCTTAGCGCCTGCGAGGTAGGCCAACCTCCCGGCCCGGAGCACACGGCTGTGGAGACGGTGGCCTACCTCGCCCCCTGTGAAGGCGACAGGGGCGAGGTAGGCCACCGTCTCCACAGCGGCGTGTTGTGGGACGGTCGGGTGGCCTACCTCGCAGGCGCTACAAACGCACTGAACGGTGCTCTCGGAGATCATGAGGACAGGGGCTGGTTCACCGAACGAATTTCACAAGACAGTGATTATGTGGATGAAGCTCCTAACGTTCACAGGCACCTAAAGCCTGAAACATTTTCCTTTTCGTCAAGTAAGCACTCCCTGCTGTTGAGTCATCTCAACTTTTTTTGCACCTGTCTGCGCTGGACCGTCTGAGTGTCGCGGCGAGACAGGTGATTTGCCGAATCGCTCTTTCTCTCGAGTGGCGTGGCTTTATCTTAAACACGAGTACCGAGGCACCGTGGCCCGAAGACTCACGCAAAGCACGTGGAAAAAACATGCAGTTATTTTAGGCTAATCTGGGCAACTTAATTGCACCTGCAACTGTGCCTGTGCCCCGAGGTGCTCCGTTGGTGAGATTCTTCTTGGAGTTGACTGTGCCGGCCTTGCCACCCTTACAGCAGGGCAGTTCGTTGGTATGTGTACGACACTGATACCCCGACGGAAAGGTCGTGGGACTGTCCCTCGCATCGCTTAACAAGTTCATCACCATGAGAGTAATCGCCACCGTGCGCCACGATGCCACGATCGTCATGGTCTTCGTGACAGCCGCGCCAAGTCACTGATCCCACCTGGGAGAGCAACCCGCGCAACCAGTGTAGTGATTTGATAGAAGAGGCGTAGATTACCATGGCCTGGCCTGCACGCAGCCAAGTCACTGATCCCACCTGGGAGAGCAACCCGCGCAACCAGTGTAGTGATTTGATAGAAGAGGCGTAGATTACCATGGCCTGGCCTGCACGCAGCCAAGTCACTGATCCCCCTGGAGAGCAACCCGCGCAACCAGTGTAGTGATTTGATAGAAAGGCGGATTACCATGGCCTGGCCTGCACCAGCCATCACTGATCCCACCTGGGAGAGCAACCCGCGCAAACCCGTGTAGTATTGATAGAAGGCGTAATACCATGGCCCCTGCACCAGCGTTGATCCCACGGCCCGCTGGTTCAAGGAGTGAATATAGGGCAACGAGCCAACGGTCACGAGCAAGCTGGTCCATCTCTAAACCCTGCCAACGTGTTATTGATATGCCCAGTATCATGGTCGCAACTGGCACTTAACTCACAGCCCAAGTGTTCGGAGCTGCACCAATGACAGTTGATCGCATGGCAGAGCTACTATGCACTGGCTATTGTGCACCATACACTGCTGCAAGTAACATAACTATTGACGTAATGTATATACTTCTAATATATTTTTTCCATTTGTTTGTGAAGGAGGAGGGAAGGTGAGAAAAAGAGAGAGAGAAATCTGGTTTGTTTTCATGTGTATTCTTCATATTGAAATCAAAGAGCAAAACTGGCTACATGAGGGCTTCCACTTCTTCGACACAATACAATCAATCTCTCTAGACTTGGTTTTAACAGTATGTTCCAAAAAACACGGAAGGCAATTTTTTTTTATTAGGTTGCACAAAGTCACATTTACAGTAAACATACTTCTTGTGAGTCTTACAACATTCCTTCCTCTTCTCAAGCACGGTATCACAATGGTACTGTGTATATTCACTCCACCCTTTCAGACTGCAATCTCAAAAATGAACACAAAAACAGTCTTCATTTCATCAACTTTTGGTTCAAGGTTGAGGCTGATGATCAATCAGGAACTCAAGGAAGAACTCCAAATGAGCCTATCATAAAGAGTACAATTAAAAATTTATATAACTTGGTAAAAGCACCAAAAATACCAATTTAAGATAAAATAGGAATTGCCTTAAAAGAAAAAAAAAACTTTTAATTTGAAATATTTCATAAATAGAATTTTAACTTCAATGATTAGGAAGTACATACTTTCTCTATTAAAAAGCTGAGGGTTTGATTATCAAAGCATATACAAAATATACATTTACCCTGTCAAAATTCTGTACATTATGCAATGACAGTACAATTTGGACTAGAGTACAATCAAAGCATGGCATTTTCAATATAACCATCACATACTGAGGCCATTCCAAGTTTACAAAACAATTTCATATTCTGAAGTAAAAAAGTCATCATCTGAGAAATCATCAGTTGTTTGCTTTTCCTCCCTTTTAAGTTCAAATAAGTACGTTTGCATGAACAACAAGGATCAATTACATTGTAGGATTTCATTCTTCAACAAACCATGAGAAAGCTGAATTAAATTCAACACTGGTTGCCTTGCAGTTAATCGGAAAATATACTCATCACATGTAGAAACAGGCCCACAGTTCTTCTTCTGAAAGGAGTGTGACCAGTTAAAAATATAGGATTGGAAATCCAAAGAAATTTATAAGATCTTATAAAATCTAAGTGACAGTTTATGACTGTACTTACTCATTTACTTAAAATTATAAAATTACAACATCTAACAAAAACTGACTTGCATGGAAGGTAAAATACTTCAACATCTACACCCTAACAAAAATACAGTTTTGCAACTGTCAAAAGAAGATTTATTGCACAATTACTTGCCAGTATACTGAATCTTCAGTTCTACAGTAGCAATCAGTGAAATGCACAAACAGCAACAGAATGTGTACTCGTGTACATGAACAATCACAGATAATAGATGGAAATAGCTCCGTTGAAAAGTATAAAACAAAAGATTTTCAGACACAAGGCAAGAATAAGAATTAACACAAACTCCACTTCAACAAAGACCAGAAGTCTTACTCTCTATTAGGACTCACAGCATAAAATCGATAAATTAACTAGCATTACAGGTTTGTCAAACTAAACATGCTCTCTTGATTTATCTGTTGAATCATTCATATGTCCTGAGGTATGCATGGGACCTGCAATGAAAGAGAACAATTTATTAGATTTCTGTCAAGTTTGCAACAGAGTTGACCAACATCAACCATTTTCCCATCGAAAGTACAGTACTACATAAAACCTTGAGCTTTTAAGACACAAAAAGATAAATTGGATTTAAATATGGCAAAACCAAAAAGCTGTGCAAACTACCAAATCAAAAAAACCATATCACTCATTTATCAAACCAAGATGAATTGAAGCAACACATTAACTTCACACTACTGTCAAACTACTTCTCTACAACAATAGAAAAACAAAAACAGAATCCATGCAAAACCATGAACAACCCTCATAAATACCAGAGAAAGGGACAACCTAGTCTCAAAAGAAAAACAAACTGCTTGCTTAAGAATAATTTAACTTTTGACAAGAAAACCAGTCCTGATTCCATCTCTGCACAGGCTCAAACCGCTCAAACCAAACACAAACAAATAAACAGAACAACACAAACACAACAAAAGGAGCACACAATGACAGCATGCACAGTTTCACAGTTGCGCACCTTTATGATCCCGCTGGTCACTAGGCTTCTTAGGAGAGGGCTTGGGGACGGGTCTAAAACTTGATGGTGGAGCGTCCCACTGCTGTGGAGGAGGGGGGCTTCGATGGTGGTACCTATGATGAGGGGGAGGTGAAGGGGATCTAGATCTACTTGACCGGTCCAACCTGTCCAACCGATCGTAAGGGGGAGGAGGGGGGGAAAATTGGCCTAGAGGGGGAGGGGGGGATGACATCCTCCCCAGTGGTGGAGGCCGTCCCATGGGGTGAGGCGGCAGCGGGGGCGGCATGAAGGGGGGCGGATAGGGCGGGGGCGAAAACATGAAGGGGGGCAGTGGGGGTGGGGTCTCCATGTCCCCGAGTGGGGGCAAGGGCATCATCATCACTGGAGAGGCAACTCCTCCATCCCCGTTTGCATCCAACCCTGCAAATAAATTACAGCAAATATTAATGTCAGCAGAGCAACCAGCTTAGTTAAAGTCAGAGAGCCGAGGAAGGCATAAAAACCTACTAGTGTTTGGATCAGCATTGCTCTTCTCCACAATAGTTAATCGGTTACGGAGTTGGGCAGCTTCTTGCCTGGAGTCTTCTAGTCTGCGTTCTGCTTGCCGAGCTGTCATCTGAAAAATTAAAACAAATAAATGAATTATTATTATGGAGATATACTACAGTAGGTCAGTAGTTTAAAAATTTGTAAGTCTGCAAACTCCCTTACCCAATTATCATGGGCCTTCTTTTCCAATGTGGCAATTTGTCCCTTGAAATCTCTCTCTTGATCCAGGATTTCTTGCTTTAACGATTCATTCTGTGCCCTAAAATGAACAGTTAATTTACAAGATTCTGTATGAATAAAATAGCAGACGTGCACAATAATCATCAAATTTTAGATAATGCCTAAGTGGGACCAATATGTAAAAGAACTACAGTAGTGTGGATCTCATTTACAGGTCTATCAAAATTAGCATTGCATTGTATCAAAACAACAGTACTAGGTGATTTACCAAATGATTAAGGAGTCTAACCAAAGCTAGTGGGTAACCAACAGTGAAAAAAACTCTGCAAATAGAGAAAAATTTTAAGTCGGATAAATTTTAAGGAAAGGGGATTTAGTAACAGAGAACTACTTTCTGGTACCCATTTCAAGACTGAAGAACAGATAGATCATCTCGGAAATCAGATCAAAGTTCCCTTCACCCCAAAGGCAGAGCAATCTTGGAGTTTGCTGTGTAGTGAAACATTAACTTGAAACATTTTAGAAAGATAATTTTAAACGCAACTACTATGAAGAATATCTTATAAACAAATTATTTCTTAACCTTTTCTTTTAATGAAGAAGAAAAAAAAAATTTGTAGTTAAAAGAACTAATTTTTGATTGAAACCTTTCAAGTGAAAAATACTTACTTGTAGGTGTTAACTTCTTCCTGCAGTAATTGCAAATGTTTGACAACAGTACTCTCATCACCTCGGTGTTGGGCAACAATGGCTTCTTTCAGGCCAAGTTCCTTCTGAAGTTGTTCCTCCTTTTCTTTAAAGTAATTGGAAAGAACAGCCAATCGAGTTTCTGCCTCTTCTCTGCCTTTATCCGCAACATCCGCTTTTTCTTCAAGAATTTTCAATGTTTCCGTAATTTTGTCCAAGCGCACTTCAAGGTCTTTTCTGCCCTTTTCTTCTTCCTCATACTTTGCCAAGAACAAATCTCTTTCAGACTTGGTGTGTTCAATTTCAGCCTTCACCTTGGTTATGTCCAAAAGCTGGTTTCCTCCTCCTGATTCCAGCTGTTTTAATGTATCCTGAAAAATATAACTCCATGAAACTCTACTAGTTTTGCAAAAAAATTGCAGGAGCCTTGGCATTTTACTTACCTGAAGCGCCTTCACTTCAGCATCTTTCATTGAAAGAGAAGATCGCAGAGTCTCATGTTTAAGCTTAAGGGCAGATAATTCTGATCCCAGACGAGATTCTTCCAAAACTTTTGAGGAGAGAGCCTCCTCCAATCTTGACTGCACTTGCTGCAGCTCCTGGGCTAACAACACATTGGCCTCCTCTTTCTCCCTTCTGATATTATTGGCAATCTCAGCAGCGGCAGTAAGCTCTGCCTCTAGAGCTGAAATTCTCTCCTTGCTTTCAACAACCAATGATTTCAAATTTTCATTCTGAAAAAAAAAAAGGAAAAGAAATGTTATTGCTGGTTACTGCCATTTCTATTAAACTATCAAAACTCGCTTATGAAAATCTTACCTCTCCACTTGTTGACTTAAGACTGCGAGTCAGGCTGTCAACCTTGTCCTTCTGACTGTCAAGTTGTTGTTGAAGACGCTCCACACTGGCAGCTAAACCTGCATGAGCCTTCCCCTTGCTTGCTTCTAGAGTTTCGGAAAGGAGTTTGTTCAACTCAATGCCTGTTTCGGTCGCTTCCTCTAACTCCCGTTCAAGTGTGGAAACCTGCTCTTCGAGGTCAGCTCTGACTAGACGACTTGACTCTAGTTCCTCACGTAAAGAATTCACCTCTTCATCATTCACACTCGAGTTAACAGTTACCTGCTCCTCACGGAGGATAACAGCTTCTTTAGAAGCAACAAGTAACTGCTTTTCCAACTCATTGATTTTGGCAACCAAAATTGAATCTACATGCTTTTTCTGAAAAGAGGGGGACAAAGTAGAAGAGGTTATCAATATTTCAAAAGTTAAAAAAAAGATTTTCAAAATTCAAAAAAATTTAAAATTGCACATACTCTGAGGAAGTAAAATGACACAGCTCCCATAAAGAGAGCCAAAGCAGTAGCTGCCAAACGCAGCAAAATTACATCCAGGGAGGGAGTCTGAATACCAAAGAGTCCCCCTGCCTCCTGCAATAAATAAAGACAGAACATTTTCAAAATTGGGTAAATGCTTTCAGATAAAATGCAATTAATAAACTAGAAGAAACTGCAAATTACCTCAACCTCAGGTGCTGCCATTTCACAGCCTCCATCAGCAGAGCACATAGTCTGTTGTTCTGAGCTCCCTACACAAACAAACAATCCAAAGCCAAAAGTTAAAAATTGTGCAAATAAAACTCTATTCATAGAGAAAAAAGTACACTTTGCAAACCATTTGTCTGTTATCAATTAATGAAAAGATAAAAAAGGATAGATCACAAAGTACACCAAGCTGTGGACATTGACCTGCCACTACTAGTGACCTTGAGAGTGACAGAGCACATCTTATCATTGATGAGAGAACTGAAAGATCAAGAAAAGTAGAACTAAAAGAGTCCTTAAAATTTACTGTGCACTGAGCTAAAAACTAGAATTCCAATTCAAAAGAAAAACGTGTAAAATTGAAACTTGAGCATACTTACAAACAGGAGGATGTTCATGGAGGTGGTCATGGTGGTGGTGAGATTCTGGTGAGGGAACCATGGTTGGGTGGGCTTCATGCTGTGCTTGTGAATCTTGTGGCTGAGGTTCTTGATTGCTAGTCTCAGGTTCAGTATTTTCAGTATCAGCACTGCTTCCAAACATTCCACCAAACCAAGAGAACATACCCGCAGAAGGAGTTTCCGGCTCTACGCTCGGAGATGCAGGTTCTGTATTTGACGTTTCAGACTCAGATATGGACTCATTTAGCATGCTTCCAACTGTAGACTGTGAAGTCTCTTCAATAAGTTTATTCTTTTCGTTCTCTCGTTCTAAGGCTTCCTGAATTTGCTTCTGATGAGCTTCATCTCTTTGCCTCATCATTTCCTCTTCTTGGAGTCGTTGGATTTCCTCATTTTGACGTCTAAGCTCTTGTTCGGCTGCAAGAGATTTTTGATTTTCCTCTTCTAAAGCTTGCATTCGAGCAACCTCTTCTTGCTGGCGCTTGGCTTCTTCTTCTTGTTGACGCTTAATTGCTTCCTCTTGTTGACGCTTGATTTCTTCCTCTTGTTGACGCTTGATTTCTTCCTCTTGTTGACGCTTGACTTCTTCCTCTTGTTGACGCATGGCTTCTTCCTCTTGCTGCCGTTTCATCTGTTCCTCTAACTGCCGTTTGGCTTCCTCTTCTTCATGCAACCTTTTAGCTTCTTCTTCCTGTTGTCGTTTGGCCTCTTCCTCTTGCTGGCGTTGATTTTCCAACTCCTGTTGCTGTTTCTTTTCTTCTTCCTGCTGTCTTAAAATTTCATCCTCCTTTCTCTTCTGCTCTTCTTCTAGCGCACGCTTTTTCTCTCTTTCGTCAGCTTGCTGTGCGTCTTGTGTTATGCTGCCAACACTTCCTGAAACTTGGTCCTGATCAAGCACATTTTCAGAAGAGGCAGTCTCTACCTCCTCTCCACTAACTTGAGCACCACCTTTCTCTTGTTCCACGGTCACTTCCCCGCTAAAAGATTCTGTCTGACGAGGAATACGAGTTCCATCATCAAGGTTTTCAACCTGTGCTTGTGGGAATGAAGCCGCAAGCTCCTCAGGGGACGCAGTGGTTGACACGGGTATATTTTCAACCACTACATTTTTGACAACATCCTCTCCGCTTGCCGGTGGAACAGATGTTGACTCAACAGTAGCAGCAGCACCAGCATCAGATGATTGAGGGATTGGGGTGGATGGCTCAGTCGAATTCTCCTCCACATCCGCTTCGTCATCATCAGCACCATCCTCATCGTCCCCCTCCTCCTCCCCATCATCCTCCTCTGGATCCTCTCCATCATTTTCTTGGCTATTTTCTTCAGTGCCATCACCGCTATTGAACATTGTGTTCCAAATATTCGTCATGATACTAGCCTCAGTGGGTTCAATAGTCTGCCCTTCAGTAATGGTCTCAGGTGTTTCATTCACAGCTTCTGTTACTCCGGCTGGGGTTGCTTCAGTTGTAACAGCCTCTGCAGATACATCTAAAGAAGTCTCAGTAGTAACCTCCTGGGAAGGCTCGGTTGTGGCCTCTGTTGAAGTTTCTTGTAGAGGAGCCTCAGGAGGACCATCAGCAAAGGAAGGTGGTGTGCCAGAGTTATCTTCAGGAATGGGAGTCACAGGCACTTCAGTAGGAGGCGGATCAATCTTAACTTCAGTATTCTGAGGTATGATCGGAGAGGGGGCCGAGGATGGTTCACTGACAGCCTCTGCTGACTGGTCAGGAGAGACAACAGGGTTTAGAAGGGTATCTGGCACAGCTTCGGATACATTCTCAGCAGATTGAGGTTCAGCTTCATTTTTCCCCGAGGTATAAGGTATGTTTGGCTGAGTTGCTGGAACAGGGTCGAACCAAATTGTAGTGCCGTCAACCATTTCATACTGTGGAGATGATGGTGTAGGAAGAGAACCTTGCTGGACCTCTACATTCTCTGCAGCAGCCACTGAGGGAAAGTTTAGGAGGGATCCAACACTTGCAGGAATCTCTTCTGTTTTTTCGACTGCCGCATCAACAGAGTCTCTCTTTGTCGTTTCGATCTTGACAGGTTCTGGGGTTCCAGGTTCAACAGCTTCATTTTCTGGTATGTTGTACAGACTTTTGGATGAGACTAAAATTTTGAATTCTTTCAAAAATGTTGCTGGTGCAAAACCAAACCTGTCCCCCACCTGTGAAAACAACAAGATGGTTTATTCAAATAAATATGAATTTGTGACAAACAATCTGGAAAAATAATGTTGAATCTTACCTTGATGCCCCAGGTGTCCCCACGTTTAATGAAAACGTCTACGTCCATTCCTGGTTTGAATGAGACTCGATCCTTGTCGACGGAGACATAGCGAAGAAGAGTCTTGGCCCTTGAAATGGGCTCTGAAAAATGAACAAGGTAAAATTAGGACAAGTACTTGGCAAAGATGGATAAGCAAAAACTCTTCCGGGTACTTGACAGCAGTGCAACTGCTGTAAAGTGAGGTCCATCCCCAACTAATGACAAGTGTAAAAACTAAAATGACAGTAAAGTGAATATGTCAAACTATGTCAAACAGGGACTCATAACCTCAAATTTCCGTATGGGAACTTACCTGAGCAGTCAGGGTTGGCACAGAGCTTGTGACCTGGTGTGCCGCCTTCATTGTAGCCAATTAAAAGAGTTAAAAATGTGAAAAACGCAATCCAAACTGCAGTAAATGCCTTCATCTCTTGGGCCAACTCATCAATGAATGCCACTAAGCCGATATTTTCATAAGAGTAGGCACCGCCTCCTAGAAAAGACAACAAACGCGCCACCGCATTGGCCTATGAGAAACTTCCCGGTGCTGAAAGCGCGCTCATTTTAACACGTGGCGCGAGTCCTGCAGCCCCACACAGTCATGGCACTAGGGCCTCATGGTTCAAATGGGTGGCGCGTTTCTACATTTCGACCAACATTAACATTACTGCAACTGACATCGAACGCGCCAACGCTGCTTCACTAGTTTGAAAGGTATGAAAGGCATGACTGTGTTGCCTTTTTAGTTCTGTTTTACCGACTCCATTCTGCAGTTCGTCATTATCAATTTGTCTCCGCAACAAAGGCCGCTTAGAGGCGTGCTTGTCGCGGACACGGCGGACACGAAGGCTGCTTAAAGCGCGGGGTATCTCCGCCATCGGGCTGGACAATCAGGCTGGCGCGCCGCCAAGGCGCTGAGCGAGCACGACTCGCGGGAGGACCGGGAGGACCTGGGGCGGGGGGTATAATCGCCACTGTGATTGATTCTTTCGGCTATCAGCAGGCATCCGTCTCTCTCGCACTCACTGGGCGCCCCGCTGGGTGATAATGTCCCTGGCATCGGGGGTATCGCCATCGCCATTCCGTCATGCCGCACCGCGCAGTAAAAGCAGTCAGAGGTGCAGGAGGCACGTCCCGGCCGTGGGGCACGTCTCCAGGCGTCTCTAGCGTCTCTAGCGTCGCAGCAATGTCCGAGAATCGACTATCGACTCCAGCGCGCCCGCCACTCCAAAAAACAACAACAACAATAACCAAAACAGAATTAGAGCCAGAGCGCTGTATTGAGCTCGCGGTGATGCAGCACATCCCGACGTGCACCTGCTGCATTGCTGCATTGTGCTTATCGGCGAGGCAAACAAGAGCGTCTTCAAGGACGGCTGTCATGTCGTGGAGGATAGAGCGGCAGGCCCCGGCAGGCTTGGCCGCGTCACCTTTGCACCATCAGCACGGCGCTGTGAAACGCCGTCATGCGTCACCCACTTCTTGGCGCGGCCGAGGATCAGGAATTCGGAGCGCGGAGGGAAGGGCTCCACGCACAGTGGGCCAGAAGACCGGTGGAGGCGGCCAAAACTCTGGACGCGTTTTGAGCTCCAGAGTCGCTAAATGGGACTCGACCCGAACGTGTGACCCCACCGATGGATTCCTCGTTCGGAGAGCAATCTATTGGTGGGGTCACACGTTCGGTTTGAGTGCCATTTAGCGACTCTGGAGCGCTCAACACGCGTCTAGAGTTTTGGCCACCTCCGCCGGTCTTCTGGCCCACTGGTGGCCCTCGGCCACCACACCGGCCCGCAACACACCACTGTTGAGACGGTGGACGGGGCGACGTAGGCCACCGTCTCCACAGCCGTGTGTTGCGGGCCGCGGTGGTGGCCTACCTCGCAGGCGCTGAAGGGGGCACAAGACACTCTGGCCGAAATCGGATTTCTGTGTGCGGCGGCTGGCTGTATGACCTGGCGTGTAGGTGAAGAGGTGTCCGTGAGTGCGTGTGTGAAGGGAACCTTGGGACGCACACATGCATGCACGCCGTGAGCGACGGACGGACATGGACTGGACGGGGAATACCTCGCAGCGTCCCATTGACAAAGAGCTGCAGAGGCGCTGATGTACGGACCGCCACGTACCGCCGCGTCGCTCCGTCCCTCTCGCACTCACGGCGCGCTGCACAAGGCGCTGCACAAGGCGCTGCACGAGGGAGAGAGAGAGACTTCCGCGGGATGCTGCCGCCGACTGCCGGAATGATGACGACTTTTGAAAACGCGCTGTTGTCTGATTCCGGAGTGTCGCTGTCTCTGTCGCACTCCAGGGACGTGCCGTGGGGGTGCGAGAGAGGCAGCGAGGAACGCACGGCAGTCTGCAGACGAGGCGTGCATGGGCTGCTGCAGTCTGCAGCGATGCGCAGTGCGCAGCATGGCTGCATGCTGACTCCGAACAGGGATTCGTCGCTGTGTCTCTCTCTCGCACTCACGAGGCGCCCCGCCAGGTCCGTGGGGGTGCGAGAGAGGCAGAGCGAGAAATCGCTGTCCGGCCTTTGCGATTCAAGTTGCCTACCTGGCAGGCGGGCCGCAGTTCAAGCAGCAGGCTGCGAAGCGCTGCGTAGTGATTGAGATAAGTGGACCGCGCACTGGCCAGTGGAACAAGCGCAGTCGAAGCTACAGTGGCTTTGTCAGACACACTCTCTCACACTCACACACACATACACACACACAAAGAGGCACGGATGTAGAGAAGGGGAGCTTCGGGAGGGAGAGCGGAGATGTCACGCGGAATACATATTCCTACACGGAATTCCCATCTCATCCAGCAGGGCGGGGCGCGCAGCGCGCTCACACACACACACACGCTCACACACACACACGCACACACACACACACGCACGCACACACACACAGTGAATGCGACACTTTTCCGGGCCGACGACATAACTTGGATTAGGCGGGATTAACGCTAAACGCGCGCAGTTTATCTTGTTGGCGCCGTTGAACGCGTCAAAGCCAGGTAAGCGCGCCTCCCGCGGGAAAGGCAAGGATGCAGCCCCGGCACTTGGAGTGCACTTGGAAAACGATTACGCCACCAGCCAATAAAAATTTGATCCTCCGACGAACGGGCGTCTTACGGAGGCACCATTGTCGCGATGGGGATTACGCGTTTGTGGTGTTGGTCTGATTGCGGTCTGTCTGTCTGTCTGTCTGTCTGTCTGTCTGTCTGTCTGTCTGTCTGTCTGTCTGTCTGTCTGTCTGTCTGTCTGTCTGTCTGTCTGTTTGTCCGTCCGTCTGTCTGCTGCGATGCGCCAGGGCCATCACACACAACTGCACTCGGTGCGTTCCGTTCCCTTCCGTCCTGACGGTGTGGAGGAAGCGGTCGTGACTTCGGCATTTATTGGGACCGCCCCCGCCTCACGGGCAGGGGAGGGGGAGGGAAGGGGGAGGGGTCCGTGTCTGGTCGATGATCTGGTTTCGCTATGGGTGTTGTGGCCGACTGCACGCCGACTGCACGCCGACTGCACGCTGCTGTTGTTGGTGCCCCTGCTGCATTCCGACAGCCCCAGGCCTGCCGCGGCCCAGCCACGCGGCACTGCAGAATGCAGATGCACCCATGACCATTCGGCCGCACCATCCCACCGCCATGCCACCGCCATGCCGCCGCCGTCAAGGAGGCGTCCTTAATCTTGGGGTCACGGAGCCGGGAATTTCGCCGGACAGAAATTAAACCTAGAGAGCAGTGACACGTTTGTTTTTGTTCTCGAAGAAAGACAACCACCGTTAGGCGGGCCATCGCCCTTCTGGAGGCGGTTCGTCCGGGGGCCAGAGGGGTGGAGAGAGGGGGAAGGGGTCGAATGCAACGTGCATCGCCTAGGCGCTATTTTTAGCGCCATCCTCACCGAGCCGGCACACGACTGTGTGTGTGTGTGCGCGTCAGACCCTTTAATGCCGTTCTGTCGGGGTGCGCGTGTGCGTGTGTGTGAGTGGACACGTGACCGACTGGCCAAGTGGCGCGGGGTATCTACGTTCCCGTGCGGGCCTACGCGTCCATACTCCGTGTTCCCGTCAATCAGTGTGCAGCGCGATTTGGCGCGAAAAAAGGGAAGCAGGAGGCTGCACTCCTTCACTCTGACCGCGAGCCGAATGCATTCGGTGGCGGAGGCAAGGCATCACTCCCGCGGATGTAGGCACACTGGCACCGGATGGAGGCAATGCGATAGGGCTTGGCTAGTTGCGTGGGGGCAGTTACTGCTACTCGCCGCAGTGTGTGTGTGTGTGTGTGTGTGTGTGTCTGGGCATGTAGATGCGTCTTTATGGCGCTCTTTGGGCGGCAAGTATCGTGAAACGACCGACGGAGGCACGCGTTCGAAAAGTCGCGATCTTCGGCGAGGGCCTGCCGGCTTGCCGGCCTGCCCTCCCCGCCAGCGAGCCGTTGGGCCGTGGGTCGCAAAGGACGGAGCAGGGGGCCTGTGGATTGTGCGGACGCAGCCAGGACTGCGGACTATGCGGCCCTAGACAACGCGAGCCAGGCAGCAGTTCTGGCTGGGCGCGGTCCGGACCCCTTCCCCCGGCCTCCGAAAAGGAGATGGCTATGGCAGCGGGCTAGCAGCGGGGGGCGGCACATTCTCTCCAGGACGCCATGTAGGACGTGCCCGAGGACGAAGACGAAGACAAGAGGGCGCCTGGCGGGTAGGCAGTCCCGTTGCACTGGTGTGCCCAGCGGGTCACCTAGCCTGGAGGCGCCTGAGCCGCCTGGCGGGTAGGCAGTCCCGTTGCACTGGTGTGCCCAGCGGGTCACCTAGCCTGGAGGCGCCTGAGCCGCCTGGCGGGTAGGCAGTCCCGTTGCACTGATGCGCGCGGCGGGTTGCCTACCACCACGGCGTTCCACCCGGCCCCGCCACAGCAGCAGCCCCACAGCGTGACAGCCGAGCGGTGCAGAAGAGCGCTTTGTCGCTCTGTCTCTCTCGCTCCTGTATGGAGAGAGCCATGAGAGCGACAGATCGACGATACGACTGAATCGCGCGGCAGTCCGCCCAGCTCAGCCCCACACCTTGCCTCGCTCCACAGCGTCCGGAGGCCCTGGGATGGACCCTGCCTAGCCACCGCCACCACTGTCCTGCAGCCTAGGCCTGGCCCAGGCCTGGGGCCGTCCCATTCCGAGACAAAGTTGGTAATTGTTCAAGTGTTTGACAACGGCAGCGAGAGGGCGGTGGGACAGCCTCTCTCTTAAGCCCCCCTACCACTTCCCCCGCCTGCGCGACAATGCAGCAAGTCACTCACAATGTGGCCGCAAAAAGTTCACGACAAGCTTTCCCCGCCCCCCCCCAAACGCTTTAGCTGCAAATAGACGCCCCAATCCAGACGGGCCTCGGAAGGTCGGGACTTAAGCGCGGCAAACACACACACACACACACACACAGTGGACTGCATGATCGACTGTGCTGGAGTGCAGCCAGATATTGAGATCCTCCCCCCCCCCCTTCCCCTTTCTGGCCCTGGGCGCAAACACCGCATTCTGCTCTGCGTTTCGTTTTCGCGCCAAAAAAGACTCGCAGGGAAAGTAGTGGAAGGGTCGTCGTCTCGTGTCTGACGCGGATTGGTGCAGCATTATTGGTTCCGTGGCCGGGAGGCAGAAGTGGTGGCGAGGCGGTGCAGTGCCCGTGAGTGCGGAGTCCCACACCGGACGCAGGATGCAGGCACCACAAGATGCTGTGACCGGACTGGGTCTTCGCATTCGTAGATCATTTCAAGAGTGTCTCAGAAAGATAATTCGAAATTTGGGCATTTGTATAGGGGTGGTTACCTGCAACCGCCGCATCAGCCAAGTCGAAATAGTGTTGAATGGACCAAATTTTAATTTCCCAAATAATGAGTGAGGAGTGTAAAAATAAAAGACTTTTCCCCTTTACACACACGCACACACTAGCCCGTCTTTGCTTTGCATTGCGGTTCTTTTCCACCTTCTTTTGTTTCTTTAAATTTCCTTCTTTTTCCCAAAAAAAAAGACTAAAAAAAGGAGAGGAGAAAATGCGTTGACGCAACTCGGATGAAAAGGAGCCGAGTGAAAAGGGGGGTTGAAGAAAGGCGTATAGCATAGCGCCCCTCGCGCTGCCTTGCTGCCGTGCTTCCGTCTTATGCGGCGCGCGTTTCAAATGGCGGTCCGGCAGGGAGGTGCGCTCGTGTGTGTGTGTGTGTGTGTGTGTGGTGTGGTGGGGGGGTGGGGGGGGGGGGGGTCGCGCGCCTGTGTGTGTACGCGATGTAAGGCCCGGTTTTCATTTTGATGAGCTGGAAAGAGAGTAACCGTCACCGCAGAGAGCGGTCCGGGCCGGGCAGCAGGCCGGGCAGCAGGGATGTGGGGTTGCAGCGCAAAACATGGAAATGCCAGCAGATAAGCCGCAACACTTTGCCCGGGCGGGTCCAATTTGTGTGCGGGAGTGAGAGTGTGTGCGAGTTGGCGGCGGAGTGCTTTTGGCGACTGTGTGGACGCTCCTTCGGGCATGCTGGTCAGAGAGACGCGGCCGTGGAGGTGATGCGCCCAAGGCCGTCATTCTCCAGGACTTCAGGACTCCAGGACTCCCAAGGACGACAGCGCGTTCCAGGACAGGCGTGTCCGATCAGTGCGATCTGACTGGACGTCTGCGACGTGTCCGACAACGATAGCGCCCGACAGCCCGTCACCAAACGCGCTGATGGATCGAGGACGCGGATTTGGGTTGGGTACGTTCGACTTATATCGACCGGTTTCGAGTTTCGGCTCGGAAATTTCGCAGCAGAGCACCCGCGCCTTCGCGGTCCGTCAAGGACGCGCAGAAATTAAGTCAAAAATGACTACAGATTGATTTGGTTCGTTTGGTCCACCACAAAATTAATAATTCCAATATTTCCGTATTTTGTTTTTCTGCTGTGAGAGACTTTGTAAGTGACGTGGACAGGCTGGGAACGCGGCAGCCTCGGACAATGCAGGAGAAAAACGATGCTGCGTCCTTTTTTTTCTACAAACCCGCTTTCTTTCACGCACAAATGGCGGTTTCCCCCAAGAAACACAATCATAATGACAGCCAAGTGTTTCATCGGGCCTCCATTTGGCGAGCCTAGCCCGCCCCACCACTGGATAGCCACTCAACTCGCGGCTCTCCACGCGGCAGCAGGGCGTTCCGAACGGCCGCTAGCGCTGTCTCTGTCGCACCCCTACGGGGCCTGCGGGACGCCAGATGAGTGCGAGAGAGACGGAGCGACGAAAGCGCCCTTTGGTTCTCCCCCTGCCAGTTACTTCATTCCCTCGTCGTCCTCCACTCACACTCGGCGCTGAAGCGACCCAGAGTGCAGCCCTGAGGCCTTGTTTGTGTTCCGGCGGGTAGACGCGGATAGACGCGCTTGGACACACGCGGATAGACGTATCGACCGACAGAGCCTCGGATGATGGATCGAGGGAATGCTGAGGCTACCTCTTCCTCGTTTCGGTTCCTGTTCTTAATTTTGCAAATTGCATTGTTTTGGTCTTTTTTTTTGCTTTAAAATATAGCGTTTTTAAATTGTTTTGTTTTAAGTGTGTACACAGGATTTGGGTTGAAGAAATAGATAAAATATGCACATTTCTGGGCAAAGGCTGGGTTGATTCCTGCCGATTTTATTCGTCTAAATTTACATTTCAGCGCGGCACCTTACGTTCACACAAAATCAACACCAGATCAAAAGCAGCAGTAAGTTATCAAAGGGGCTTTTGTCGAACAAACATCTCAACATAATGCGAGTTGCAGAGGACTGTCCGGCGGACCAGTGCTCCGCATCCAAATATTTCTAATACACATTTTGGCGGCCATAATTTAAAGATGCATTAATATTCCTGCTCTGTCGGCAGAGTATGTCTTAACGTAAAATAATTACATCTCAACGGAAGCAAATTTCAAGGAGTAGTGCTCTATAAAAAGTGACTAGCAGTAACCGCACCGCACAGGGTGCCCCGGATAGTGTACACAGGCATGGCATAGGGGGTCGTAAAGGCAGGATGACTAGATCCGCGAACTGCTAGCGAAAGTTACGTATAAGACCTGTTCTTTGAACAGCACTAGTGTGTTCCGTTGACTCTCCAGGAGAATTCTAGCGAGAGAAGTTGAATCAAAGTCACTCCGCCAAATATGAATCTAATTCAGAGCAATAGGGTATGCATACATAGAATCTACACTACACTGTTTCAAAGTCTAGAGTTTACTGTTTGACCTACGTTACAAGAAGAAGCCATTTTAACAAAAAGTTGCGTAAATACTTTAGGCTACAATGATAGTCTCTCTGTACACATGAAAACTCTTACAGCTTTCACCTTTCAGGTTTTCTTAATCAGGTATGGGCAAAACTTGTCTCGATCGCGCTGACAAACCCTGTCCACAAAACGCACGCGCAAGAACACACGCACACTCCGTCACACACACTCACATGCATACATACACTCACACACACGCTCACAGTGTGTCTCGTAATAATTTTAACACTCGAATGAATGCAGGTTCAATGACGCTCGTGGCGTCAAGAGAAAATGCAGTAACGAGCAAAACTCCAAAACTTGTGCCGTTTGTGCAACAGACGGCCTCCAGACCCCTCCCCACCCCACCCCTCCAGGATTTCCCTCAAACAACGAAGTTGTGCTCCAGCCCTTAGAACTAGGTATAAAACGGTAACCATAGTATGTATACACTCTACTCGTGCTGCGATCCACAAACTTAGAAATATAAACACAAAACAAAATATAAATACGCTACGCTTAAACGAGGATTCGTTATTGAAAAAATAACATACAATATAGTCAATTGAGGCTTCCTGCTTCACTTCCTCTATTCTAATTTGTCAATACTGTCCGAAGTAGCCTTTTCTCAGTCATAGGGGACGCGCAGCGGGGAGACAACAGCAGCGAAGTTCGCCCGGTTGGGCACACACACACACACACACACACTCACAAGTTTTGGCGCCATAGCCGCAGCGAGCCAGGCGCAGCCAGGCACATGCGTCCCCGTCGGCCACTCACTGGTGGTTCTGGAATGCAGAGCTCGGGCAAACAAAAAGGGGAGAAAAGGAGAAGATCGTAGTTGAACCCACGATCTAACGAGCCTGAAATTGTCAGCTTGCCCGCTCGGCCAAGAGGGGCGCCTAGGTAGGTTCGCCCTGGTTGGCAGCCCTGTGTTCGACACACGCTGCGGCGCGCTGCGGGCAGCGACCCGTACCCCATATCCGAACTATGAGAAATCTAGAGTCGGAGTTGGCTGCAGCATCTGTCCTTGTCTATCACAGCCAAGTCATTAAGTAGCCTCTTCCAACCCGCAGGCCGTGCAGTCCGCAGCGTCACTTCAGCATTTCGGCAACGCCCCGCGAACGCCTAAGGGAACGCCCTAGGGAACGCCCTAGGGAACGCCCTAGGGAACGCCCTAGGGAACGCCCTAGGGAACGCCCTAGGGAATGCCCTAGGGGAACGTCCCCGAGGAACGCCCCTGGGCGAGGTATCGAGAGCGCCTCAGCAGCAGAGTTCCTAGCGCCATCTGGAACACCTCGAGAACGCCTCGAGAACGCCTCGAGAACGCCTCGAGAACGCCTCGAGAACGCCTCGAGAACGCCTCGAGAACGCCTCGAGAACGCCTCGAGAACGCCTCGAGAACGCCTCGAGGCACTTCGGGAACGCCTCCGAAGGGTTGTCGAGTCTGCTCGAGGTCGTTCAAGGCCGGTAGAACTTGGGGGAGTACTGCACTGGTCTGCTGTGCGTGTCGTGGGAGAACTTCTCGCTCCTCCGGTTGTCGTGGTGGAACTTCTCGTTCTTCCTCGGGCAGCGGCCGCTCAGCTTCCAGAAGGGGCCGAACTCGCACTCGGGCAGCTTGCACAGGTTCTTCTCGATGCATCTGCGGCAGAGAGAGACAGAGAATGGACATGAGGAAGGGAGGCTGCCGTCTCTCTCCCACTCCAACGGGACACTCTATGAGTAAGAGAGAGACAGAGAATGGACATGAGGAAGGGAGGCTGCCGTCTCTCCCACTCCAACGGGACACTCTATGAGTAAGAGAGAGACAGAGAATGGACATGAGGAAGGGAGGCTGCTGTCTCTCTCCAACGGGACACTTTATGAGTAAGAGAGAGACAGAGCGACGGAACGATCCTTTGGCGGCAGGCCCACCACTATGGCCACCGCATCCCGACAACCCCCACCCCAACCACCCCGGCAGAGCCACACTGTGATAAGACAGAGCGGCAATAACTCTCGCGGAATTAGGAGAAACGAATAAGTGGTGCCAGCCGTCGTTCCGTCTCTCTCGCACTCGCGGGGCGCCTCGTGGGACCCGTGCGGGTGCGAGAGAGACAGCCTGCTGGAGTCAGACTGCAGCCCCGTAGGCCTTAATCCCAGGCTGGAAACGGGGCGTGCCAAGGGGCGTGCATAACGCCGGACAGAGAGAGAGAGAGAGAGACAGGCTGCAACGGAGAGAGACAGACAAGCTGGTCCACTGCGGCTGAGGCGCGCTGAGATTAGCAGTATCGCTGCTCCTCACACACAGCCCTTATCACAGGTGTGAACACTCCCTGCACCGCGGTGTGCCAGATGACGACGAAAATAAACTGACACTGCCAGAAAAAAGTCGGAAAAACCTAAAAAAGGGAGGAAACAGTGTGCGCGGATGGCGAGATAAATAGCCCCCCAGCAGGGCTTTGTATTTAATGACACGAGACTCCCATCCCATTCTGTTCTTCTGCTGGAGATAAGGGGCCGCACCTAAGCCTGGAGGCAGCGCGGCAGCGCCGAGGGCAGCGCGCCGGAAGCTCCGGGGACCGTCCGACAGCGTACAGTGTACACGGCTAAACATTTTGTGTTTTTTTTCGTAGCCCTCTCAAAAAATGCTCTCTTTTAAATTTCACAAATATGATTTTTTTGACAAAATTTTTGTGCCAAAAACACGTTGTTTGTTTTGCCGCGCGGCCACCTGTCACGGTGACATGGCGACTCCGGCGCCCCAGTGACCCAGAGAGGGGCGGAGGGTGGCGCCCTGGCCAGGGCCTGGCCAGGGCCTGGCGGACGCGGAGGGGAGGGTCCCCCAGGACAACGACCCCGACGACAAAGAAGTCCCGGAGGACATAGGGAGGACCCTCCCTTCGCGACCACGCAGTGCCGCGCAGTGCCTCGGTTGTTGGCGGCCGGGCTGACAAGCGGCCTGCCCGCCTTGCCCGCCTTGCCTCGAGGACTCCGTCTTGGCCTCCTTGGCGCTGCGGAGATACCGCGCCGTTTTTTCGCCCACTGCAGAGGAAAATAAAGACACCGCGACGCGGCGTTGGCAGCACACTGGAGGGCTGTCGTCGCGCCGTCTCTCTCGCACCCCTACGCTCCCCCGGACCACCCCGTGAGTGCGAGAGAGACGGAACCAGGCTGACGGCGTGCTTGGCGTTGACGGCGGTCCGCGCGGTCATCCGTCTCGGAGTCCATGTCCGGCCGATGCAAAACAAGCTGGATCAAATTCCGGTGGGGGGAGGGGCTAGTGATGCCTCTAGCTCTGTCTCTCTCGCACCCTCGCGCGGCGCCGCGTGAGTGCGACGGAGACAGAGCACGATCGGCCGGGCCGCTGGCAGAGAAAGCAAACGCGGAGCCGGCAGAAACAGGGGCAAACCGGCACAAAGACGACAGCGTGCGAAGGGGAGGGTTTCCTGATGTTGGCAAGCTTGGGCCGCGTCGGCCTCACCGGGGATGGAACAACTGACCCACTGCGAAATATGAATGCGACTTTTGATGTCATTCTGGCGACACTCTGCGGTACTCACAGTCGGTCCTCCATGGAGAAGTACTCCTTGCCCTTCTTGAACTTGAGGCAGTCCGCCTGGCGGTCGAAGCAGTCGCAGGTGCATTCGCGCGGCTTGGGCAGGTCCCTGGGGCTGTAGGTGCTGGGGCAGCGGCACCTGTGGGCACCGAACACGTGAAAGGTCCGAGGCACAGTGGATTTTCCAGAAGACCTGTGGAGGCGGTCAAAATCCCGGACGCGTTTTGAGTTCCAGAGTCGCTAAATGGGACTCGAACCGAACGTGTGACCCCACCCAATAGATTGCTCTCCGAACGAGGGATCCATTGGTGGGGTCACACGTTCGGTTCGGGTCCTTTTTAGCGACTCGAATTTTTTTTCTAGTAAAATGAGCGTTGGTCGTCCTCACCCCGGCTTGTTGTAGGGCGCGATGGCGATGTAGGCCGGGGTCTGCGTCTGCCGCTGCTTCCTGGACGAGGCCGTGGCGTGGGCGTCGTTGGCGCTGCTGGCCCGGACGTCGTTGATGCGGAAGCGGGTGTCTTCGATGGGCGCGCACTCGCACTCCGTCTCGTTGTAGAAGGCCAGCTTCTCCACGATGGGGTTCCGGTGCCCAACGCGCGTCGTCTAAAAAAGAAATGTCAAATTTTTCTTTAAAAAATTGACAAACATTTTAAAAAGTTTACATTTTTTTAAATTAAGAATTTAATTTTTTTTTAAATTTAAATGTTTTTTTTGGAACAAACAATAAATGTTTCTTCTGCTCTTAGTATTTGAACCCAGAGCAGCTGTCACATGCCGACTTGCTCGCTGAACCACGCGGCTACCGAGTCAATGCAGGCGCACAGACGGCTTTTGCGGGCATCGGGGGGAGGGGGCCTGATCTCGATAGAGCGGTGGAGCGTTTCATATAAATAACGGCGAGATTTCACGTTCCATTTGTCTCGGGGACGGCGGGCCGGTGGCGCCGCGGCGGCGAGGCGCGCCCCGTGGAGGGCCGCCGCCGCCCATGCCGAGACGTGTCGCCGGTTGGGTCGCGGGTTCGAGTCCCGGCGCCCCCTGCGGCCTTTTTATTGATTCTCCAGTGTGGCGGTTATAGTTGCCGCGAGTGCACCAAGTTCCACCCCGCCATATTTCTCGCCCTTCGTCCCAAGCTGCTCCTCTGACATTTTCTTTTTTTTTTTTCGCTCCGCTCTTTCCGGCTCTACTTTGCTCCTGAATGGATGCGACTTGGGGCTGTTCGCGTCTATTAGAATTATTGGCCACTCCGGGGGGACGCCCTCCAGCGGTGCCGCTCCGTCCTTCTCGCACTCACGGGGCGGGAGGGAGACACAGCGACTCCAGCGAAGAGGGTTTCATCGCAACCCCTTTGGACGCCTTCACGGAGATTACAGCCCGTCAGCGGCGTACAGTAGGCCAGCAGACGGTGAGGGTGGCCAAAACTCTAGGCGTGTTTTGAGCTCCAGAGTCGCCAAAAAGGATTCGAACCGAGCGTGTGACCCCACTAATCGATTCCTCGTTCGAAGAGCAATCCATTGGTGGGGTCACACGTTCGGTTCGAGTCCCATTTAGCGACTCTGGAGCTCAAAACGCGCCTAGAGTTTTGGCCGCCTCCACCGGTCTTCTGGCCCACTGTGCGGCGTCAGCCTTCCTTCAATGAAACTCAGCGAAAAGGTCGCGCCGCGGAGTGGATGTACGCTGGCAGCGCTTTTTAATGGGGGTCATTTCATTTGCATAATTCCCAGTGGACGCGTGCCAAGCCCCAAGCTCAATGTGACGGACAGGCATACGGCACTCGCAGTGCGGTGACTAACGCGTGTCGACAATACGGCCCTGCAGCGCGCTCTGTCTCTCTCGCACCCCGACGGGACGCCCCGCGAGTGCGAGAGAGACAGAGCAAGTGCAGTCGGCGGAATGCCGTGCCAGACAAGGACGCGCGCGAAATACGGCGCGTACTTTTATTTTTCCGAAAGAACAGCAATTTTTCATACGCTTCCTACAGTGTCCCCACTCCCCCTAATACGCATTGGCGGGGAACAGTCTGGAACAGTCGCCAGTCCCATCCCCGACCGGAAATCAGGTCGAAATCATCGAAAGTGAATCGACGCTCGGGAAAGGGGGAACCAACCGGGCAGGGACGGAACAGGGGGCCGTGGAGCGATCGGGCGAGGTGACAAGCAGTGACAGCGAGGAGACAGCGAAGTGATAGCGAAGTGACACACAGTGGGCCATGCGACCGGTGGAGGCGGTAAAAACACTAGATGCGTTTTGAGCTTCAGAGTCGCTAAAACACTCGAACCGAACGTGTGATGCCACCAATGGATTCCTCGTTCGAAGAGCAATCCAGGCGGAGTCACACGTTCAGTTCGAGTCCCATTCAGCGACTCTGGAGCTCAAAACGCGTCTTGAGTTTTGGCCGCGTCCACCGGTCTTCTGGCCCACTGTGTAACAGCAAAATGACGGTGGAGTGACTCACGTAGAAGGCGAGCTCGATGCGCACGCTCCGCTTCGCCTTGCACGTGTACTTGCTGCTCCTGCAGCAGCCGGTGGCGTCGGTGCAGCGGTGCAGGATGGTGCAGTGCGGGATGTACTCCTTGGAGGGGTCCGGGTACAGGCTGCCCACGTTCACCACCACGGGCGCCGGCACCTTGCAGGACCCGTTGGAGGCCATCTTGAGGATGTGTTCGGTCGCCTCGTTGGCTTGGCGCACTGCAAGGCAAAAAGAGGCGGGTTCAAATACCGGCATTCATTTCTTTTTTTCTTCAGAAAATTTTCTTTTTTCTGAAGATAATTATCCTTGTACTAAACTCGCTAAACTGTAAAATTAAGTGAGCAGTCAGTACAAAGGTTTACAGTGTAAAACGCACTCTGCATGCACGGTGTGCACTTGGGCACCGTTATGAATTCTCGAGTCGTAATTTTGGCCGTGACTGTACTTTGGGGCTCCTCTTGAAGAGGACTGTACGCCGCCGTGCCGCGGCGTGCCACGGGCGCTCCGCCGCGCTCCGCCGTGGAAAAGGCGCGAGTGCAATGTTAGCGATTGGTCTCACTGCAGTCCGTCCGTACGGTCCGTACAGAACGTGCGGCGTGCCCTCGGGCGTGCCCATGTTGGCCACCGTGGCAGCGCGGCCAGCGCGGCTAGCGCGGCGTGGCCAACCAAAGCCCGCCGAGACACAGGGCATTGAACATCGGGAGCGGCGTAATAGCGGGGTGGCCGATTGGAAGGCTGGGAACACTTTTAAAAAAATCCGAAAAAATAGAGAACTGGTCACGTAATAAATATTTTCTTCAACCCTCAAAAAAGTCAAAAAAGTCAAAATTTTCTATTTTTATTGCGTTTAAAATTATATTTTTTGAAAAGCGGAGCCTTAGAACGCACTTTCCGGGATTTTCCAACTTATTTTCAAGAGTGCAGGAGCGGCCCGAGTGAGGCTGCTGCATCTCGGGAACACGACGCACTCTCCGCCTCAATCGTCCGAACGCAAGACAGAAATAAAACGGAAAAGTACAGTGGGAAACACGGAGCACTCCAAGTTGAACATCCTCGCAGTTGCGGACCAAAAGGGTTCACTCCGTTCTGAAATCCGACGTGTCATCCCTGGCTGGCTGGCCGGCTTGCCGCCTGCAGCGTCGGCCACCGCAGCGCTCCGCGACACGGCTGTGGGGCGGGCTGCCTACCCCAGCAGTCCGCAGGCGCTAGTCGTGCTGGCGCCTTATCACCGCCTTCCGCACGCACGGGCCCGGGTTCGAATCCCCGCCGCGCCCTTCCGCCAAACTCGGAAAAGCCTTCCGGGTGCACTGCGCGTGCGGCGCTCGAATGAGAAAGGAAAGTGAACAAGGGATTGTGCTGCGGGGCCGTGCATTCCAAAGGCGGCGGTGCATGGATTCGCTGCAGCCCGCCGCCAGGGCCCGGAGCAACGGCCGGGCGTTACGTAATAAACCGCAAGGCAGTGTCAAGGTTGGGGCCGAGGCCGGCCGAGGCGGCGCGAGTGAAGCGGAAAGGGGGAGGGGGAGGGAGAGAGGGGAGAGCCCCGCCGTGAACTTGCCGCCCGGCCCGGACAAGTCCCTCTCTTTGCAGAGCATGCAAACTAGAGACGGTGGCAAGCCTTCCGAATGCGGGTTCAGGCTTCCAGTGTACTTCCAGAGTTCTTCCAGGCGGGGCAGGCCTCCCGAAGGCACGCCCGCATTCGCACGGCCTGACAAGCCTTTACAAGCCGTTAGAAGTTCAAGGCGTCGCAAAAAAAATTGCTTACTTAGTTGGGTTGAGAAATAATTTTTAATTATTTTTTTTCGCGGGGTTGAATATTGATCTCGCCGAGACTCGAACAACCCGGGCCGAGCACTGCCAGCGTGTTCCGGCCCTACTTGTTCGCGTGCAGGACGACTGGCCCGAGTCGGGTTGCGGGTCGCGGCTGGGGTCGCGGACTCCACTATCGGCAGCATCTTCTGCCAACAGCGGCCAGCAGCAGACTGATTCTCAGAGTCGTTCTCGTCGCTCTGTCTCCCTCGCTCCTGCACGGGACGCTCCATGAGTGCGAAAGAGACAGAGCGACGGAATGAGTCTGCAGTGGCCGGCAGCAGCTGCCTTGCCCGCCCTGCGGGCCCTGCCCCGTCTCGAAGCGCTCCGAGGGCTTCGAGGGCTTGAGCGAGGTGGCGGCAATCGCACGCACTGTTTTGCCCTGCTGCTAAGTGGCCGGTGGAAATAACATCACTTTCAATTACACGGTACGTGGGCCAGAGCCCCGCCCCGCCCCGCCACGCCCACTTCACACGCCATGAGCGCGCGCGGTCACATCGGCCGCCACTCCCGCCTGAGCACGCTTGTCAACCCGACTGTGAACGCGGCGAAGGGGAGGGGGAAGGAGGAAGGGGGCAGGTTCGCGTTCGCGGCGTTCGCGTGGTTGCCAAGGGCCGCCCGAAACATGTCCGAGGTAATCAACAATCAGTACTTCCTTCCAACAAGCTGTGAACTTGGGGCCTGCTGCGATACGCTGACCGCATCACGAAACGGGTCGCCACGGCCCGTGCACGGGGCGGCCTGGGGATGAAAATGAAAATGCGGGTCAGCGAGGAGTCGAACCCGCAACCTCCATCACACAGGGGCCCCTCCGGACAGGCGGCGAGGCCGGCAACAATGTAGTCAGCGTCTGGACGGTCTGGACGGTCTGGACACTCCCCGGCGGACGGCCCAACCCTGCAGGCTGACTCCGAACACGTCGCCCCGTCCCTGTCGCACTCATGGAGCGTCGCGTCGGGGTGCGAGAGGGACAGAACGGGCCGCCCGGGGCCCGCCCGGCTCTGCTTGGCTCTGCTTGGCACCGCGCCAACCGGGCTTGTCCATAGACTACGGCCGCGGCGCCGAAATACAAATCGGACAAGTCCAGGGGCCGAACGGGGTTCGGGGTAGGCGCGCCTAGGCGGCCGAACGCTCGACTCGTTTCCGCGAGTCGCTCCACGCTTTGGACGTGGCGAACCCGCGAAGTCGTATCTCACTCACGAGGCCAGCGGACGGGGCGGCAGTTCGCGTGGACGCGGTTGTTGCGACGCCCAGCCGTGGGCATGCTCGCCATTTTTTACCCCTCCGGAGATTTCGGCGTGTGACGTCCGAATAGAACGAACCCAAGGCCGTCGGAGATGAGCCAAGTATGCAGATGAGCCTAGTTCGATGCAGTCGTTACGGCCCGCTTTTGGCGGCAGCGGGAGTCGAACCCACGCCCAGTCAGCGTGAACCACTTTCCGTGACCCAACGGCCGAAAAGCAGAGCTCATTATTCGAACCACTTGATGGCGCGCGCCGTGGCCGCGTGGGCCGGGGCGTCGGTTTTCTACGACTAAGGGCCCGTGTTCGAGAGCTGACTTGGTACTATTTTTGATGAGCCTGGTGCTATTTATCACGATGGTCCGTAAGTGATTCCGTACTTACAAGAGGTCTGCGCCTCGGGCTTGAGTCCGTTGCGGCGGGTGTTCTGCAGGTTCTCCCTGGTGCCGTACGAGTTCCACTTGTGCTCGCTGTACGACATGGGCGGCGAGTCGCTCAGCGCCTGCAACAAGTAAAAACGCACAGTGTCAACCGACAAGAAAATCAGACAAAAACAGCAACGAAGTCTTGGCACGCATTTGTCAACACTTTTGACATTAATGCATTAACTCGTTGGCCAGGGAAAAGGCAAAGCCCTTCCTCGTTTCGGGAAGCAGGCCGTTGCCGGAAGTGGGCGCGGCACGGCGCGGCAGTTCGTCCGGGGAACACACCGATGACTTACAATGAACGTTTCGGCCGAACCGTGATACATATGGATGCTCGCCTTCGCCTCGGAGGTGATCGATCACATTGATGAATCAAGTTCCGCGAGACGAGAGGGGAAGTAAAAATAGTCCGCCGGGATTACCCGCGAAAGATAACGCGAAGCGTGCCCCGCCCAGGTGGAGTGGTCCTCGGGACATGAGTCATCCGGACAGTGCTCCAGCTTCCAGTACGTCTGTCTGTCTGACTGTCCGTGTGAATGTTTCCTGTTATTAATGACGAGCTGAGGCCAGAGCGACGACGCACACACCGGGTTGTTGAGGAAGGTCGCGACAGTGAGCTGAACGCCGGGGACTCCCGCCGAGAGTGAACCTAACCTCTGTTTCCCACCCCGGTTGGTTACGTTGCTCATTTTGCGAAGCAAGCCCCGCGCAGCGCGCAGCCCAGTGGCTGGCCTCTTCCGAGAACGTCCTGGCCGACCAGCAGTTCGCCTTACGACGCCGTATATCAAACGCCATCTAGATGCCGCGCGGCCACACGGCCAAATTTACTAGGGGTACGCGCCGTTTAGTCTGGGCGCGTAGTGTGGCTGAGCGATGCGAATTGACATGGTTTGTGCACTTTGGACTTTGCTTGAGAAGACGAAATGTGCATCTTAAGGACTCATATTGAGTGAACTTTAGACCAGGGGTACAAATGGAAGTGATTTTCGTTATCAGAACACCAAAAACTGCTGGGATCAATGCCAAACTCGATTTAAAAATTTTGGTCCAAACTTGGTTAAAATTCGGTTAAATGTGAGTCTGGGAAAAGTTTGAAGGTCATTTTTGAGTTCAGCACACCAAAACTGCAGGAAACAATATAAAACTCGACTTGAAAATTTTGGTCCAAAATGACCTAATTGGGATGAAAATATAAGTCTGGAGTCGAAATGAGAGTGATTTTCGTTATCAGCACACCAAAAACTGCTGGGATCAATGTCAAACTCGATTTAAAATTTTGGTCCAAAATGGTCAAAATTCGGCTAAGTGTGAGTCTGGGAAAATTTTGGAAGTCATTTTTGAGTTCAGCACACCAAAAACTGCAGGAAACAATATAAGACTCGACTTGAAAATTTTGGTCCAAAATGACCTCGTTTCGGATGAAAAAATAAGTCTGATGTCAAAATGGAAGTGATTTTTGCTATCAGCACTCAAAAAACTGCAAGAATCAATGTGCAATTCAATTTAAAAAATTTGACCAAAATCGGTTAAATTTTGGGTCTGGGGACTATTTAGAAGTCAATATTGAAGTCAGCGCACTGAAAACTGCAGGGAAACGCATGACTCTCAAATTAGAAAGTTTCGCCCCAAATTGCGTAGCTCTAGGTGAAAGTGTAGGTTTGGCATTGAAATAAATGTAGCTTTTGTGACTAGTACACTGAAATCTACAAACAACTATCTAGACTCAATTTCTGTACATTCCTACACTGTCTTCATGAAGCACCCACTGTCATCACCAATTCCCTGATGCCACACCAATGTGAATCCCTCAGTCGAGTAACATTCAATTGCCAGCATTGAATCGCTTAATTGGTTACTCGTATGATTGGGTCACTATTCGATATCTCTTTTTCTTAACTAATGAATTCTCAATTTTATAAGTAATATCTATGAAACATTTTGTCATTCTTTCATTGTGAACCAGTGAATAAACAATATTGATTGGCATACGTTATCACAGTTAATATTAAGAGAGTCAGTTTAGGGTAGGCTGATCTGAACCAGTTAACGGGGACCAATTATTGTCAAATCCAGTGATTCGTCATATAGAGTCCAATGCCAAGGCTACTCAAGGCTTAATGAACCGACACAATTTATCTTACTCAGGTATGCAATACTGAGTAGTACCAGTTATATTAACTTCAGTGAAGTGAAGGAATCGTCTCATTAAATCCATTCACTAATTCACTCACCGCTCAAAACCTGAGTCGTCTCTTTGAACCAATATCAATTCAAACTCTATTAGGATTAATATACACAACCATACATTGATTCTATTAATAAACACATGTTAGTACTTTGCACTCTTGTCAGCTTGCAGCATTGCAATAGAATGTATTTCTCGAGTCCAAACTAAGTATGCCTGAATTTCAACACAAGTTATTTATGCATTTCCCTGATTTCCTCTACTGTGAAAATTTAAAAAAGAGGATGACACTATAGAAAATGAAACAAGTAGATGCCACAATACAAAAGGTCAAAATAAAAACATTCTTTTACACTGCTCTGTCAAAGTGCACTGACCTGAAGAAGATTCCCTTCGAAAGGGGGAGGGGGGAGAGGGGAACGAAACACGTAAATCATTTTCACTGCCATTCTCCATATTTCGCTGTGTTGATACTCTAAAATGGTTTTAATCATTCTAGAATGTAGAAAAACTATGGCCGATCTCATTTCCAAACCCTTCTGCTCGTTATTTGTTTTATTTGCTATTTGCTTCTGTCCCGTATTTGAGAGCCGCGGCCGCAGGTATGAGAAATTCGTGTGCTGAGTGCTGCCAACCTAACCATGCTAATAACCTGATTCAAAAGTATGTTTTGAATATTTCAAACGATACTAAACAACGATTTGAAACAAACTCGTGTTGGGGGGTACTAAGGCGACGTTAAATACGAAATCTTGAAACTATAGCCACTGTAGTTGCTGAGAATCGATGGTGAGTACAAACAGAGTCACAGACAGACGCACGACCAGTCACTTTTCAGCACGCCCAAACACGGCAAGGGCTTCGCTATCGCTCAGCCAATTATTATTTGCGCAAGCCAGTGCATAAAAACTACAGGCTTCTGGCAATTTCAAACAAAAACATTTCTTCGCAGTGAAGATATTTTTCCGAGGAATTTGCGATTGGGGGGCGTAATGTTGACGGCGAGGTGGCTCTGCGAAGCTGTAACGACCGGATATCGGCCGTAAAACGAAAAGGCACGGTCGGATTGTCTCCCACCTAGAGGAGGTTCAGGCGGTTCAGACGCCCACGCCGGCGCCTTCTCTGATTGGCTAATAACGCCAAGAGCGCACCACGGCGTGGCGCGGCGCGACGCACGTTGTCGGGCGATAACTGTCAACGGGCGCGTCATGGTGCGAACACTCTGACACAGAAAAAGAAGAAGCAAAGGCAGTTTGAGAGCTGAAAATTTGGCCGAGCACAGCATTAAATTTCATTAAAATTCCGAAAGTGTGTGGGCGTTGGCCATACGTGATATTTGTTGGTGAGTGTCGGCCTCTCCTTGTCGTGTCATTTAATGCAGCAGCATGCTCGCTGCCGTCGCTCTGACGCCTCTCGCGTCGTCGACTCGGCTAAATCTGAACACGCCAGCGACTAAACAGCGGCAAAATGTGCCAGGAATGCTTGTGCGGCCACTTAGTGGGGCTTTGAAAGCCACGCCGCGTAAGCGCGCTCGCTTACGTGGCGTCTTCGCTTAAGGCGTGCTTAAAGGGTTTGGAGGATGCGGAGTCGCGGTAAATACAGGAAAACAGGCGTTTAAGACATGACTGAATTTTGTTAATATCATGCCCCAGCCCTACTGGAGTCCTACTGCGCTTAACCAGAGCTTGAAGTCAAGTCCTGGACAAGATGAGCCGAGATGAGCTTAAAGTGAGGCAGTGGCTTTGCTTGAAGCTTTTCTTAAGATCTGAAAAGTCCCGGTGAGCCCACCACGTGTAGGCTGCGTGGAGTGGGCGGCCTCGTCTCGTCATTCAGGTGAAAAACGAACCGATAGCTGTCGGCGCCTCGCGGCACGCGGCGGCACGCCCCGCGAGAGCGAGAAAGACAGAGCGACGACGGCCCGCGGGCACGCCCGCCGCCGCCCGCCGCCGCCCGCCGCCGCCCGCCGCCGCCCGCCGCCGCTCCCGTTGCAGCTTGTTGTCGTTTTCCCGCCGACAGGATAACCATTTGTCGGACAAGATGATGGATTTCCGCGTCCTTTCCCCGACTTCGTTACATTTGTAACATTGATCGCGTAGGAATGCCCATCGCACCTCCGACGGTACAACCGCCGTCACGACCGCGAGCGGCCGATTGACGTCTGGTTTCAGAAACAGTCTTCGCGACGCCTTCACGACCCGTAAATCAGCAGCCAATGACAATGCAGAGCGAGGAGCGTGCGCACCTTTCACGCGCAATGCCGACATAACGAGCCTGTGTGTGTGTGTGTGTGTGTGTGTGTGTGTGACAGCCAAGAATTTGCATACGATAGTGACGACGGGGGCGCATAGAGGCATGCAGCGGACAGAAGGGCGCGCGAAGCACGCTAGATAGAAATCCGGATGAAAACTAGCGACAAGAACGACCAAAAGCTTCCCTTGTCACATCACTCAGCCACCACCGCTCCATGCCCCCACCGCACCAGACCCTCCCGCACACAAACGCGCGCGCGTCTAGCGGCGAGATGTTCGCCCACTCTTCGCTTCAGCACACGGTGACGTCTGTGTCGCCAGGCTCGTCGAGGAGCTGGCCCTGCTGCCGGTCGCCAAGTTTGGGTCATTTCGAATGATGAGATGCGTTCGGCTTGTTAGCTGGCCAGGCCTGGGCTGGCCCGCGCAAGGCGGCCTGCGCTAGGCGGCCGGCACGGCCATAACGCGCTCCATGCGGGCCTGCTACTTTTGCAGCGAGACGCAAGGTCACTGCCGACGGAGGACTCGAGGCCTCCTGACGACGTGTCCGTGGTGTCGTCCGCCGCGTCAACTTGCAGAGGACATCAAAGAGTGGTTTTAGAGGCAGTGTTGCCGCAGTCAAAGCGACGACAAATGCCCGAAAAAAAAAGACTTTCTGACCAAGTTTGCGAGACTGGTGCTCACAAACGTTACCCCAACGTTATTCGCAGTGCATGTGCAACTCACACAGCCTCCGCCTCGTGCTTCGGGGAAATCATACCGCCAGTAATTGAGTCGCCTTTCTGGGTCCAGAGTCCCCAGCCACGCACTGCGAGCTTGGAGAATTTGCCGCACAACTGAAACAACCCCTGCCGGTATTTGTGACTGCACTTCGCGCTCACGGCTCGCTTGCAGGCACGGCTTTGGACACACACATTCCTCCCACATACACGCCGGCCGGCGCCATGGCGCGCCAGCAGCGGCATGTGGCTGCAAATACGTGCCCAGCCCGCAATTCGCAGTTATTAATAACGACCGCGCGTTGTGCGCACGACAAACGGGTGCCCGGAAGTCCATTACATGCAGCTCGCGCTGCGAATAAGCAGTCGGAAGCGGGCGGTGAATCACGGACTTACTCGCAGAATACGCGCTGCTCCTACGAAAAGCGGCACCTTTTCTCGTCACTGACCAAGAAAGAATCTTACGAATTTTTAGTCTAGAAGTCGGAGTTTGAAAAACGACCCCGTGTCGTCGAGTTCCAAACCCGCGGTATGCCCCATGCACACTACTTCTCCAAAACGTCGCCACGCGGCTCACCTATCTCCATCTCAGATTGCGATCTTGGAGGAAAGGGCTCGTGAACTAGTGTGTTGGGGAAGGATAAATCATAATAACCTCGTTGACTATTCCCCATACGGGTTCCAGATTGCATCAGGCCGGTGCAACCTAAACACCTCACTCTCACACACACTCGCACAGACCGGCACACTCACACACGCGACATGATAAACGAAGTCATATCGGAAACCATTTGAAGGCGCTTTCTCTGCTGAGTACGCTGGCTGTGGACCAGGCCGAGGTGAGTGATCGACTGACCGGTGTCTGCAATTAGAGCGATTATCTTCTTCCTCCGAGGAAACATTTTTTTTCGGCTGGTTCCGCCCAGGCCACGCACCAATTCAATAAACTCGCCCAAAGTGGCGGTTACGTTCCATACGCACCGCCGGGGCACCGCCAATGGACCTGGAACACACCCAGTGCGTGCATCCCGACCGCGGGCCAGCGCATGCATTATGCAGTACACTGCCAAACAAAAACCAAAACGAACGAAAAAAATGGACATGTCTTATCTTGTCGATCGCATGCCTTCGGTGTATTTCGGGGATAATAAAATTAACTGGTAATTGAAAGGTGGCTGGACCGGCTGCTCTCAAAGAGCCCTGCAGTTCGCGTCAGATTAATGCCAGGGCGTTTTGCTCGCGCCATTGCAGCCAATAATAATCGCGCGTGTCCAATGCGGTGTGTGTGTGTGTGTGTGTGTGTGAGGTGCCATGGCGCGCGCGAGATATGAATTTCAGATGTTCCCGCTCATTGATGTGGGCTGCATCCACTTTCACCCGCTCGCTGCGTCTGCGTCCGAAGCCGGGCCAGGCCTGCAGCCGGGCCTGCAGCCGGGCCTTCAGCCGGGCCTTTGGCCGGGCCAGCTCGTCACGCCGGTCGTAGAGCGCACGCAGCCACTGCACTGGGTTAGTGTGTCTAAGTAGTGGTGTCTGTCCGCACGGGTTGCGTCACCGAGGGGGTGGCCCGGCTGACTATTAACGGATTAGGGAAGGTAATGTTGGCCCGAGGCTGCAGCCTCCGCACTGACTTTCTCGCTCACACGGGGCGTCCCTTGTAGGTGCGAGAGAGACGGAGGGTCCGGACCGACTCTCGGAGTCAGCCTGCTGGTGAGTGGAAAAACAACGCGGAGTTTGCTGCAGAGGGTGCATTGATCCGCGCGTCACAGGAGAATCAGTTTAGCCAACCTCGCACCGCGGGTGGCGCCCTGCGTTGCCAACCTACACACTAAACTCCTATGGACTTTTTTCGATACATAATTTATGGACTATTGGATTGTACTTAAGTCTGTATAAATTTGTCCACATTTATGGACAAATTTGGGGCACTCAGACCACGGCCCCAAAAAGTTCATTATTATGTACAAAGAATTGTGAACAGCTTAAGAACAATTATGTTCATAAGATAAGAACATATTTGTTCATAATTTGTTGACAATTTCGTTCGTAATTTATGTACAAATTACCGAATACGGACTTAGTGTACAATCATTTATGCGCAGATTATGTACAATCAACTTTGTTCATAATTTATGTACAATTGCCAAACCTGATTTTGGGAGGACGTGTGAGCTATCCACAGTTTATGTACAATACGCAAAGTGCGTTTGTTATGTACAATCATTGGTTCAAAAAATTTGGACATAAAATTTTTCATGAGATAACGCGCGAAAGAAAGGGGGGTAGATAAGATCAATATGGAAGCTCGTCTATTTTTTAATTACTTCGGGCGGCTTGTGAACATTTTGAAGTGGGAGCCAGGTCAGGCGCCTGCAAGCCAGGGAGTAGGCAGTCCCGTAACACATGCGTGGCGGGCGGGTTGCCTTCCCGAGCTTCACAGGCGGCGTCGACCTCGCCGCCCGCCGCCGTACTCGCCGTCGCTACCCCGCGCGCGAGAGGCTCTCCGTACGGCCAGCATCGATAGTCTCTCGTGCTCGGGGTAGCGGCGGGAAGCTCGGATTAGTTTTATTTGAGTCCGTCTGTCTATTATGGAGCAAAGATGTAATCTATTCTATTCCTTCATTTATATCGTGACAAACACTAGAATCATAGAAAAACGCACACAGTAAGCAGATATGTGCGTTTGGACACCAGCCGGTCCAATGCATTTAAATTTTATCTGACCGATGGCGGTGATTGGTTTGTGAACACACCCACCCTTCTCACTGGCGCGAACGAGCAGCGCAGTTCAGTGGATCCCCCCCAAGCCAAGGTCAGGCCAACGGAGGAAGAAAGTGTGATTCGATGATTCGACCATGGCGTCGTCATTGCCCAGCAGTGTTGATTTACCCCACATTCTCCGAGTCAAAGGACTCGCCCCAGCTATCGTCAGTCGGCTTGAAGGTGAGAACATTGATGTGTGTACCGACTCCGACCGAACTAGCGTTACACACGCCACACGACTCGGCGAGTTTGTGCTGTTTGTGTGCCCAATGGCTTAATTTCCACGTGTATTTCAGTGCTGAGCCGATTGCCTGTTAGTGCGGCCCCTCGATGGTAACCAGATCGCATTCTACTTTGTTCTAAAGACTCGTTTTCTCGCTCGTCTCTCACGTTCCGAAGGGACGCGCCATGAGTGCGAGAGAGATAGCGGAGCAAACGATCTTCGGAGTCAGGCTGTTTCAATCCTCATCTCTGGCCGACCCCTGCGTCCTTTCCAAAACTTGCATCCGTTTCTTTAATTTGAGATGGAGTCGAGATCGTTGAATCGTTGCCTCCTCCCCTCCCCCTCCCCCTCCCCTCCCCCTTTACTCGCCGGTCCCTAAGCCCGCTCGGCCCGCTCGGCCCCTCCGCTTTGTCTTCCTCCTCTTCTCCTTCTTCTGGCTCTTGTTTACATAACCTTTCTAATACATCAGAGACTTTTATCAGATACATAATTGTCTCTGAATTTTTATTTGTGTTAAAGTAGCTCTAATGTAAACAGATTTTTCTCACTTTCTGGTGTTTTTGTGTTTTTCAGAGGAAGGATTTGATGGATTGAGTTTTTTAAAAGCAAGCCCATCACTCCTGTTGGCTCTGAAATTCAAGGGAGCAGAAATAGTGGCTATACAGGCCTTGCAGAATGATGACACATTTAAAGATGCAACGGTTAGTTATGGTTGTTTTGATTGTTTGTTTGTTGTTTTTTTGTTCATCCTTCAAAAATTTTCAGTTTTTGTTTTGTTTTGCAGGTTGACACTGGGTTCAAAGCCACTCCTGAGAATGCGACCAGTCCAGTTGTACGGAGGTCACTTCGCAGTAATTCCTCAGCTAGAAACACTCCGAGTCCAGCTCACTCAAGACACCGTAACAGTCCAGTTGGCTCACCAAATCAATTTGGAGGTGGTCGTGACATCAGTTCAACACCAACACGAGATCCAGTCTCGCTTCGGCAGAGAATTGCGACAAATCAGCTTGCGAAGACTGTTACCTTTGCAGAGAGAACCAGCTTTGCTTTGAAACCTCAAAAAACCATCCTACCTAGTGGCAAGAACTTTTTTTGAGTAATGCAGGTGGCAGCACCTCAGCTTTGAGTAAAGCTTGTGCCACTGAAGATGCCCCAGGTTCAAGCTCCGGAGCTTCCTGGCATCAATCTGCATCACCTGATGGGGAGTCAAGTGACGATGATTCTCATCTCAGTACTGCGGTGTCTTACAAGCAAGTCTTTGGCATTCCGGTATCTGCTCAGCCTCAAAAGTCAGCCAGTCAAGCTCAAGCTAGCTCCCTCGGGACATCTCAAGACCATGGTCCACATGATGTAAATCCAGCAAGAGAAGCTGGCTCCAGCAGGACTTCTCAAGTCCATGTTCCATGTAATGTAAATTCAGCTAGTAAAGCTGGCTCGAGTAGGACTTCTCAAGTCCTTGTTCCACGTGCTGTGAATTCGATGTTAGCTTCAATAGCTGCTGACACTTTACCCCAGGTTTCTTTTTTCACTTTATTATCTTGACTGTATTGTGTTTTGAGTCTCAATCAATTTTTTTTTGTAACCTTTTTTTGTTTGATTTTTCAAGTTTGATATATTCAGCATTCTGGGAGAGCGGCTGTCTTCAAAGAAAGCTGATAGAGAGATACTTGCTAAGCTAAGAAACAATACTCTTTTACTACCATCTGAGCGCAAGAAAGTCATCAGATTTCTGACCCAGTATTTACATGAGAAACATGTTTGGTGTGTTGTGTTTTATTCCTTCATTGTCCCCTTTTTTGTTTCTTCATTTTTTAATGTATGCCCTGGTTTATTTTGTTTCTTCTGTTTTACCAGTAATCCCAAAGATGTCACCACTGAAATGAAGGAAGGATTGGCCAAGTCATTTGTAACTGCTGTTCCAGTGTATCAGCAGCAGGACTTTCTTGATGAAAACAGCCAGCCATGGGTAAAGAAAATTCTTTTAAAAGCTTGAGGTTTTTTATCTTAGTGCCACAAAACTCGTTAATTTTTTCTTATCTTTACAGCACCATGTGTACCATCCACGCAGCTCTGGGTGGATTGCTAATGCTTCAAGACCATTTCAGAGGAAAAACCGGAAGAGGAAAACAAAAGGAAATGATGACTCTTTTGAAGAGGCGCAGTTAATGGGTAAAGATGCGGTAAGTGAACAAAATGACCATTCAATCACCTTAAACTGATAAATTTACTACAGGAATCATTTAAATTATTTACAGATTCAGTCTATGGCTGAACTAATGCCTGGAAGACATGAAAGAGCTCAAATTCTGGATGGAATGGCTGCAAGCTTTAACAACCGTCAGAAACTACGACTCGAAGGAATTCCAATCAGAGCAATGCTTGAAAAATATCCTCATTTGAAAAACTATGATGGAGAAGTAGTATGTATTTCTAAACATGAACTCTTGTAATTTTTAATGAAAGATCTTGTTTTAGACGGTATTTTATTTTGCTTCCATCTAATCTAGATGAAGGAAGATTTCCCAAAAGGTTGTATCCTAAAGCAGAGGACTTTGTGTCGACCATTTTCAAAGATGCTGCCAAAGATGTTACTTCTACCTGAGCGCAGAGAACTGGCCCTTGCCTACAATGATGGTAATTATGGAATCATATCTCATTCTATAAGACATTGCTTTGACACCCTTGATAAATTCTTTGAGTTGCTATTCTCATTCTTCCTCTAGATGTCGTGAAAGCTTTGATGCTTCTCTCTCAACATTTACCTCATGATATCCCTCAGTCTGGAGAAAAAGACGTGTCACACACTTGGGCTTTAGAGCAAGATTTGGTGTTGGTTGTACAGGTACGTTTTATGGCACATGAAATGTTTGTTTCCTTTGTATTTATGAGGCTGCAGTAATTTTTCATTATGTTTTGTTTCAGCCAAACGAGAATATTGATGAATTAATCTCATCTAAAAGGCAACAAGCAGCTGGATCAGTGCAGCCTTATCTGGTGCTGGTCCGTAATCCAGTCACCGAAAACATCCTTAGGACATTCTTGATCTTAGATGATTTTGCAGTGCAGCTATCTACAAATTCATTTCTCAAGGGCATTGATTGGCTCTTTAAGTCTTTCTTTGTATTTGGTTTGCGATACCCATATGGGTGGAGAAATACTTTCCATTTTCTTCAGATCTGTTTCTATAAAATCAGAGAAAACTGTGGCAAAAAAGATATGATGAATTCCTCAGAATTTGAACTGTGGAAGTCCCTCTCTCAACCTTAGTTTTTTTTTTTCCAAATCTAGACACCTGTTGCTGTACTTTCCTTAATTTTGTTTTTATTGTCTCAAGGTATCTGAGTGTATAACACTCACATAAATAATTTATTTTCTAATAAATAATTTGGAGAAGTTCCTTTGTTAAATTATATTTCTTTTTTAAATGTCAATCTTTGAATATTGTTTGTTTGCAGCTGCAATGTGTATTTTTGTTAAACAAGATGTTTTCTTTATTTTCAAATTTATTTCAAAGTGAACAGTTTTTGAAAAAAAAAAATGTTAATTTCAAGGAGGTTGGAAATAAAAATTTGAAATTCAACAAAGTTGGGCAGGTTTATTGAAGTTGTGGCATAAGACACATATACATTTAAATACACTCACAAATTCTTTTCCATACAAGTTCACAGGCAAATAAAATTACTAGCAGCATTAATTAAGTAAGGACCAGGGACCAATTATTACAGCCAATCTTAATTGTGCAGACATCTCAATTAGCAAGATTGAAAACATGTTTTTTCCTCGCCAACAATTATCTCACTCAAGCTTTTGAATTAAAAAGGTACTTATAAATAAAATTGGAAACTTCAACAAAGTTATAGGCAAGCCAATCTCAGCCTTACAATGCATTCATTGTAGTTACACACTTAACTATTTTACAAAATAGTGGTACGCAGGGAGAGGTAAATCTCAGGATGGTTATCAACAGTCCAGGGAGCAATACAGCGGAAGTTAGCAAGAGACAAGACATTCATTACTTGGAGGTCTGGATTCACAAGAGGGAATACATGACAAGCATTGTACTTAGCACTTACCCCCCCATTTGCCCAAGGCTTCAACACCAAGTAAACAGCCTTCTTGTCGACAACAACAACATCACAGATGAGAGCAAACAATAGCCGAGATGGTGTCGATCCTGGGAGACACACAAACAGTCCCGGACGATATTCTTCTCCATTCACAGTGGCACTTCTGGTAAAAATAAGTTCCTCTTTACCAGTGAAACCTTCCTTCACAAAAAGTTTCCCATGAGGACTCAAAAGGACTTCACTCAGCTGGACACTCTTTCCATTTTGGTAATCAATAGCACATTCTACACATTCACTGATGATGGACTTCAAATTGCTGAGTTGAAACATCCGTGCCATTGTCATTGGTGGGTTCTTAAAGCAGCAGCAAATAGCAGCATGTTGCCTAAATATTTTCATTCTACCTTCAAATTTTGCACACCACACTCTGACAGGAGGTCCAACTTCTCGTACCATGTCTCCATAGTGTTTGAGGTGATGAAGCTTGTTTGTAACATATATTTTTAAACTTTCTTCTTCTTCTTCTTGCTGTTCTTTTTCTTCTTGTTGTTCTTTTTATTTTTATTCCTGGCACTTTTACCCACTGTCTGTTCCTGCTCTGTCTCCTCTTTAAGAAGTCCTTCTTCTTCAACAAGCTCTTCCTCATCCACTCCTTGCTCACTGTCTTCTCCCTCGACTTCCTGCTCATGCACTTCTTTTTGATTGTCTTCTTCATCGACGTCCTGCGTAACCACTCCTTGTTCATTGTCTGCTCCGTCGACTTCCTGCTCATCCAATCCTTGTTCATCCTCTTCCTCATGCAATTCTTGAGTCTCTATGAACAGCGTAAAGAAGAGTGCATTATGATTGTATATCAAAGTGTCAAGACGGTCTGCATCTCCATTCTGAATCTCAAATGAGAAAATTATCTGCATTATGTCTTGAAGTAAAAATATCAAATTCATGTGAGGATCTCCTTCCTCCACCAAATCCCCGAGGATAAATGGCAGTGCTCTCATCAAAAACCACATTTGAGATCCTGTTTGCTTCAACTTTCCTCTTGGTGATGTCAACATGTCAAGGTCAAAGTTTGGACTGGGCTTGTTCTTCGAGTCAGGCAATCCATAATCAAACGATACTACCAGACCGTTAAAAAATTTAACATTAAAAAACTTTCTCTTGGTAATGTAATGACGCAAGACTAACTTGATTACTAGTGGTACAACCCCTTCCAGTAAATCATGAAATGCATCAAACACATTGTTTTCTACACAATGGAAGTAAGGGATATCATCCAGGGGGCAACTGCGTTTAACTCCACATTCTGATGAAAATTTCTTCCGTTGTTGCACTTGTTCCAGGTGGGCTGCATGAAGTTCGGGGGTTCTGGGAATACCAACAGCATTTGCATTAGCTCTGACTTCTGCTCGAGACACCATACACCTACGACAAAAGTAATTTGCTCCAACACTCAAGAATCCTAAGAGATCATGGGCAGCTAAAGTGTCTGCAGTAAGATTTGTCAAAATGGCCCGTAGGACAAAGGGCTCTCCATCAAGATCAAGAGTAACTCCTTCCTCTGATGCCAATTTCTTCATATCTGTACAAAAAGGGGCAAGAACCTTCTTGAAAGCACCCGGCCTTTTCATGTCATCAGCATATGCAAGGGCCAACAAATGGATGGAAGAAAGTTCTGATGATGCTTCAGCAGGTAGGTTTTAAAACTTGAAAAAAGAAGCAAGCAAGCTTGTGAATTATAGTTTTAGAACCTAGTGAGTTTGCAATCTCAAGCTCATCATAGAATAATAGAATATGCACAACATTCTTGTGTTTCAACAAAAATGGATGGTCTTTGAATTTGGATCCATCCACAAAAGACCGCAAAACTCCATCTTTACTTACTAAGTCTTTGAAAATTCTATTTCTGTTCTTCTTATTTGAGAGGATAGCTTTAAGTGTCTTAATAATAGGCACATATTGAAAAGACTCAGTCACTTGTGTTTGAACATAGGTGTTGGATTGAGGGTCCAGTCTTCTGTCCAAACGGTCACCTAAATACTTTTCTTCGGGTTTCACAAGGCCAAACTTCTTTTCAAAATAATCTAGCTGTTGTTCAATAGACTTCAAGTTTTCAAAAGGATCTTGGACATCAACAAGATCTTTCAATATTTCAGCTGCATCTTCTTTGGTTAAACCTTTCAGAATCAAGCGGGAGGTCAAGATCTCTTTTAAACTTCCCCCAGAACTGCTGAATCATACAGTTGCAGCCAGATTCAAACCTTTCAATTGCCTTCCCAGTTAAACTTGCTTTGGACCGTAAATCTAGAAGCATTTGAACTGCCGCATTGTTTAACTGGTCTTGCAATGATTCATTCTGCTGTTTTGCTGAAGTTTCTGCTGCACTCTCTTCAAAGCACACACTGAAAGTATCGTCATCATTATCATAAGAGTAATCCTGCAAAGTTGGTAAGAAGGATCCGGGACTAGTAGGCTGCAGTGTCACATTGCCATGACTAGGTCCAGCCCCATCATGATCTTCAAACAAATCCAGGTGAGCAGTGGCAATGTGCCTGATCATAGATGATTTGGTGATGAATTTTTTCCCACATTCAAGCTGGCCACAAGGATAGGACTGAAGGGGATCATGGCAGTTCCTGAAGTGACTTCCAAATCCTTCCGTTCCCTTGTGCTTTGGCCCATCTTTACAAATTCCGCAGGATAGAGATCCCGCAGTCTTGACATTCATTTTGGGCTGTAATCAGAAGAGCGCAATGAAGGTTTGTTAGCTGAGTTATGATTTCAATCAAATAGTAAGATAAGTCTGCAGTACTTACAACAAATAGAGGCAACCACCCAGAAAATTACATTTTGATAGATTTGGAGTTTCTGGCATTGGCTCAAAGTCAGGAGAAGGAGAGCTTGCTGCTAACAGAAAAGGGCTTAGGTTAGCAAGAATTGTTAACAGATCAATCTAGCAACATTAATAAGAATAAAATAGAATGTCTAGTTACCACGTCAAAATCGCTGACCCTCGGATGAGGTAGGCATCACATCACACCTTGATCACACGCAAGTTATGGTTTGGTTTCCAATTTGGTTTTCCTGCAAATAAAAGTTGACATGAATACTTCATGAATACTTCACAAATCAATCTGATCTCGACGAAGCAGACGTACCATCTGACTCGAACCTCAGTCTAAAGGCAAACAAAGCGAACAGTTTCGAGGGACAATGCCTAAATCAAACCACTGATTTGAAGTTTCAATCTATGGCAAGCTGTGCGGGTGATTTCTCATACATGTGTATGAAAAATTTTACATTCGCTTAACTTCTTGCCACCCCACACCCCACCCCACTCCGACCGACTCCGACATCAAAACAAACAGCTGATACATGCAACAGCATGTTTCATTCGGTTCATTTTATTCAAGGGTGGTTTTAACTTTATTTTTGGATGAATTCGTGTGAGGCAAAAGAAAAGATGAAAACTCTGTGGAAGGATTCTTGCGCTGCGCTCCGAGTCCAAGCACAGAAAGGTTCGAGTGTTCGAAAGTTACTTTCCCGGTTTCTGTACGGTAAGCATAACATTTTTTTATTTTCGTTTTTACTTTGACGAGTTTAGCGGGGTGACCCGGGCTTTGTTATTTTGTTATATTGTTGTATCAGCTAAGAGTGTGTTTCATTAACTTCCTTCTTTTGTCAACATTGATCTTTGTAGAAAATTGTCACTTTCTTGTATTCATAACCCTCCCACATTCAAAACAATTCCGTCGTCTATATTTAGTTTTTCTTCCTAATAAATATATGTGAATATGAGAAATGGTTTAATTCTCAGGTAAATTTTTTAACATTATAACTTTCTGATTTCAGGATTTTACATGTACAATGGATTTGTCAGTCCATCTGCCTATATGACATTGATGATACCAAGGTAAGTCTTTATTTCATTTTTTTCTGTCAGTTATCGTTGCTTTCATCAATTTTACACAATTACTATAGAACTTAGCTATGCTTGTCTCCTTTTCAGGTGTGTCATTATAACCCAATTCCCCTCAAAAGTGCTGCAATGTTTTTAGTGGCAATCTTTCTTGGACTTAAGAGCACAGTTCATCTTCTGATTTCATGTCCTGAAGGAACTACTATTTTTGCACTTTAAGGTAAGTTGCTTTTGATACAATGATCGTTGCTCATAATATTCTGAGTTTCGCCCACCTATGTTTTTAATTTTCCACAGGAATAGTACAGTTTAGTTTTATTTGGTGATTCTTCAAATGCGCACAGTGCATTACACCACATCAAGTACCTACAGTGACAACACCCTTTCGGATGGCAACTTATCATTTCACCACAAACTGTGCAGTGATTTTATCACCCAGCCTCCCAGAATTTGTTAAAGAAAAGATTATATGAGGTAAGTCACTATTTTTAAAATATCTATAGATATTTGAAATGTGTTTCCTGCTTTTACAAACTTCTCCTCTTATGTTTGTTTCTTCTTTCTTGTTTCATTTCAGTGAGTGTAAATCAATTCAATTCCAAAGTGAGGCTTGGTGCAATTTTTAAAGAAGAAAGAACCTGCCAGGGCTGCATTGAACTCGTAAATATTGTTCTTCTCTACTTAAATGAATTGGTTAGAGTTAATTTGGGAACCATCAAAGATAAACCTCTAAACTTTTTTCATGCCGAGAGTACAAGAATAAATTTAAATAATAATATTGAAACGGTTGTTTTTGTGTACTCGTTCCTGCCGACTTCCTGGACAAAACAAAAGGTTCGACTGCACTTTTTTTTTCAGCGTGGTGAGAAGCTTTGGTGAGATTGTCTTCGGCACAATACAGAGTTATGGACATTTTCTGTGCATGAGCTAAGAACATTTTAAGTTTAGCAAAAGCACTCTCAATATGTTTTGGAAATACATTTTTATGTACATTTTTTGTCCATAAATTATGAACATCTGAGGCTTGTCCAATAATTTAAAAAAGTACATAATTATGTACACTTTTCTGCATAAGTTATGAACATTTGATGATTGTCCATAGAATTTGAATGATTGTGAAAAAGTACATAAGTATGCACAACTATCGTACCATTGTACATAAGCTAAGTACGTCTAAAAATTATTCATAAGCATTTGATTCATTTCTGAAATGTTCTTCTTTATGTACAAAAAAGTCCATAAGCTGTGTACAGTGAAATTGTACGGAAGGCTATTGACAAAATTGTGCGTAGTTCAGTACGCGCAAGACTGGCCATAAGTTATGAACTAATTTATGCGTAGTTATGTACAAAAAAGTCCCCTAGGATTTAGTGTGTAGCGATATTATCCCCCCACACGCGTTGAAAAACCCCCGATGCAGGCCGGCAGGGATCACGCACTGTAGATCGATAAATCAATGCACCAATGAATGAACGCCCAGACAATGGGGGGGGGAGTTCCAAACTGCCAAACTAGCAGTGCCGGACCGCAGCGCGGCCTAAAAACAATCGGTTGAGGCATCGGACGCGCACCGCCGCCCCCCCGACTCTGGTATGAATGACCGGTGGTCGTTCTCCATCGGTGGGGTCCGTTCCAGAGCCACGCCGACACGCCGCCACGCCCGGCCGAACCTTGCCTAACGTCGCCACCGTTTGCCTACGCGAGTGGTGTTTTTCCTGGCCCCCCTGACCGGCAATTGAACACGTGGGCCAACTTGATGCACGTGCCGTTCCCGCCAAGAAGGGAGTGCCAACTTTCTCTCAAATAAATAACAAGGAAATAAAAATCGGACAGAGAGTGTGCCACATCCCTCAAACAGCGAGCATTTCAAAGCTTTTTAAGCAAACCTTAGTCGCCGTTCAACAAAAAGTGGACAGCTCAAGTTGTTCAGTTTATTCTTTATCCTTTTTAAGGGACTGGTAGGTACCAGCACCGTTTCGATAAAGCCCACTCCGCAAACGCAACGTTGTCGGGAGCACAGTTACCTTGCATTAGCATTCGCCCTTGCCGCTTTCTGACACGCTGCCGTGTTTGCGTCGGTGCGTCTTCTGCTGCCTTGCGTGTGTGTGAGTGAGTGCAAGAGTGTTCGTTTTTTTCCCCGGTCGGATCCATCAAACCGCTCGACTTGCTTGTAAAGGTCACCCACAATTACAGGGACCGCTAGCCGCCGCGATACGCGCGACAGCGACATGCAAATAAGCAGGCTCGGTGTAAAGTATCCTTTTTAAATGCCGTTAATTTATTACCAGTTTTCACTGTAGGTCAATTCACAGCATTTACTGTGAACTGCTCACGGGATTCACTGTGATCTTGTTCACGGTGTTCACTGTGATCTGGTCCCCAGTAAACACTGTGAGTTTGACGCCGCTGAGCACCGAAGGACTGCAAATCAGGCTCCAATTCCCGGCGTTTACTGTGGCCAGATCACAGTGAACACTGTAACCGAGATCACAGTGAACGCCGTGAACTAGTTCACAGTGAACGCCGTGAACTAGTTCACAGCAAACATTGGTAATAAATTAACGGCGTTGACAGGACATTTTTTGTAGAGTGCAGGGAAAAGGCAAACCCCTTCCTCGTTTCGGGAAGCAGGCCGTTGTCGGAAGTGGGCGCGGCACGGCGCGGCAGTTCGTCCGGGGAACACACCGATGACTTACAATGAATGTTTCGGCCGAACCGTGATACATATGGATGCTCGCCTTCGCCTCGGAGGTGATCGATCACATTGATGAATCAAGTTCCGCGAGACGAGAGGGGAAGTAAAAATAGTCCGCCGGGATTACCCGCGAAAGATAACGCGAAGCGTGCCCCGCCCAGGTGGAGTGGTCCTCGGGACATGAGTCATCCGGACAGTGCTCCAGCTTCCAGTACGTCTGTCTGTCTGTCCGTGTGAATGTTTCCTGTTATTAATGACGAGCTGAGGCCAGAGCGACGACGCACACACCGGGTTGTTGAGGAAGGTCGCGACAGTGAGCTGAATGCCGGGGACTCCCGCCGAGAGTGAACCTAACCTCTGTTTCCCACCCCGGTTGGTTACGTTGCTCATTTTGCGAAGCAAGCCCCGCGCAGCGCGCAGCCCAGTGGCTGGCCTCTTCCGAGAACGTCCTGGCCGACCAGCAGTTCGCCTTACGACGCCGTATATCAAACGCCATCTAGATGCCGCGCGGCCACACGGCCAAATTTATTATTATTTGCGCAAGCCAGTGCATAAAAACTACAGGCTTCTGGCAATTTCAAACAAAAACATTTCTTCGCAGTGAGGATTTTTTTCCGAGGAATTTGCGATTGGGGGCGTAATGTTGACGGCGAGGTGGCTCTGCGAAGCTGTAACGACCGGATATCGGCCGTAAAACGAAAAGGCACGGTCGGATTGTCTCCCACCTAGAGGAGGTTCAGGCGGTTCAGACGCCCACGCCGGCGCCTTCTCTGATTGGCTAATAACGCCAAGAGCGCACCACGGCGTGGCGCGGCGCGACGCACGTTGTCGGGCGATAACTGTCAACGGGCGCGTCATGGTGCGAACACTCTGACACAGAAAAAGAAGAAGCAAAGGCAGTTTGAGAGCTGAAAATTTGGCCGAGCACAGCATTAAATTTCATTAAAATTCCGAAAGTGTGTGGGGCCATTCCACGCCAGACCACCGAACCCCTAAACTGACCTATCTCAGATTTAACTTATTTTTGGTTGACTTGTAGGGACCAACCCCCTGAACTCCCAAACCAAAGGATTTTGAAAAATATCAAACGGTTTAGGAATAGGAGCACTCTGAATATTGAACTTTTTACTTAAGTATTATTTTACATTTTTCATGAAAAATTTTTTTTTGAACGCCAGTGAGGGTTTTGGTTTATGATTTCCTTTCTGATAAGTCCGAAGAAAGGTTGAAGTGGGTTAAGCACTCTGGTGCTTCCAATTTGGGTATTTTTACTTAGTGAAATTAGTCAAAATTACTAAAAATTTGCTCTACTGAAAATACGTTGTCATGGATTTGGCTCATTTTTTGGTCAAATGAAGGTAGTTATTGGTCGAACAAATCCCTGAAATAAAACCTTTGACTTGGGCACATCTTCAACTTAACGGGAAGAAAAGTTGAAATTTCACTGGTAACGGTTTCGTTAAAATGGCCTGAGCACCAACAGTTTCTTCTCGTATCAAGTTCTAGGACTCAAAATGATATGAATATGAATATAAATCAATTCAATAAGAAGAAGGGAATCATGTGTAACTGTTTATGAAGGTTTTATAGCATGAATTGGAGTTTGATACTACCAGTGAGTTACGTCGAAATTTTAGTCGTTATCTCCAAACTTGGCTTCCTATACTGCAATGCGCAATGCATTCAAAAATAGATACATGACTCCATACTTCTTATTGAATTGATTTTTATTCATATTCATCTCATTTTGAGTCCTAGAACTTCATGCGAGAAGAAACTGTTGGTGCTCAGGCCATTTTAACGAAACCGTTACCAGTGAAATTTCAACTTTTCTTCCCGTTAAGTTGAAGATGTGCCCAAGTCAAAGGTTTTATTTCAGGGATTTGTTCGACCAATAACTACCTTCATTTGACCAAAAAATGAGCCAAATCCATGACAACGTATTTTCAGTAGAGCAAATTTTTAGTAATTTTGACTAATTTCACTAAGTAAAAATACCCAAATTGGAAGCACCAGAGTGCTTAACCCACTTCAACCTTTCTTCGGACTTATCAGAAAGGAAATCATAAACCAAAACCCTCACTGGCGTTCAAAAAAAAAAATTTCATGAAAAATGTAAAATAATTCTTAAGTAAAAAGTTCAATATTCAGAGTGCTCCTATTCCTAAACCGTTTGATATTTTTCAAAATCCCTTGGTTTGGGAGTTCAGGGGGTTGGTTCCTACAAGTCAACCAAAAATAACTTAAATCTGAGATAGGTCATTTTAGGGGTTCGGTGGTTTGGCGTGGAATGGCCCTGTGGGCGTTGGCCATACGTGATATTTGTTGGTGAGTGTCGGCCTCTCCTTGTCGTGTCATTTAATGCAGCAGCATGCTCGCTGCCGTCGCTCTGACGCCTCTCGCGTCGTCGACTCGGCTAAATCTGAACACGCCAGCGACTAAACAGCGGCAAAATGTGCCAGGAATGCTTGTGCGGCCACTTAGTGGGGCTTTGAAAGCCACGCCGCGTAAGCGCGCTCGCTTACGTGGCGTCTTCGCTTAAGGCGTGCTTTTTGGAGGATGCGGAGTCGCGGTAAATACAGGAAAACAGGCGTTTAAGACATGACTGAATTTTGTTAATATCATGCCCCAGCCCTACTGGAGTCCTACTGCGCTTAACCAGAGCTTGAAGTCAAGTCCTGGACAAGATGAGCCGAGATGAGCTTAAAGTGAGGCAGTGGCTTTGCTTGAAGCTTTTCTTAAGATCTGAAAAGTCCCGGTGAGCCCACCACGTGTAGGCTGCGTGGAGTGGGCGGCCTCGTCTCGTCATTCAGGTGAAAAACGAACCGATAGCTGTCGGCGCCTCGCGGCACGCGGCGGCACGCCACCGCTCTGGTCCGTCTCTCTCGCTCCGCTGCGGGACGCCCCGCGAGAGCGAGAGAGACAGAGCGACGACGGCCCGCGGGCACGCCCGCCGCCGCCCGCCGCCGCTCCCGTTGCAGCTTGTTGTCGTTTTCCCGCCGACAGGATAACCATTTGTCGGACAAGATGATGGATTTCCGCGTCCTTTCCCCGACTTCGTTACATTTGTAACATTGATCGCGTAGGAATGCCCATCGCACCTCCGACGGTACAACCGCCGTCACGACCGCGAGCGGCCGATTGACGTAGAAACAGTCTTCGCGACGCCTTCACGACCCGTAAATCAGCAGCCAATGACAATGCAGAGCGAGGAGCGTGCGCACCTTTCACGCGCAATGCCGACATAACGAGCCTGTGTGTGTGTGTGTGTGTGTGTGTGACAGCCAAGAATTTGCATACGATAGTGACGACGGGGGCGCATAGAGGCATGCAGC